GTGACAACGACAACTACCGCAAGCTCTAGGGAACTAGCTTCCCTGACAGGACCTCCAATTGTGCCACTAAGAGCTTGGCTGAGCCGCGCCGCTTGTGCTTCCGCCCTGGACGCCAGAGCGACTCGCCAAGTCATCAAGACCCGTTTTGCAAGCATCCGTGGCGCCTGTGATGTTTCAAAGCTAGTGTGAGGCATGCTGCCCAGCTGCCCCAAAAGCGGTGAATCCTCAGAATGATTCAACACGATCCATCAAGTTCAAGCGCAACAGAGACCAGGAGCGAAGGGAGCAATATGGGGCTGGAACAGTTGACGGTTAGCAGCTGCCTGACACGGAACACCGCGGACTTGCCGAACGGGCATGACTTTATTTGCACATGCCCGTGCCTTCCAAGCGGAACTCAGCTGCTCTGCAACAAGCCTCCTCCTGATCTGACAACACTGGCAACACAAGTGGATGTTGTTCCAAGCCTAAGGCCATAGGGTTCCCTTGCGCCTGGCCCTTGTGCTGCCTTGCTCCGTGCTAGTGTTTGGCCATGCCGGCAAACATGCCAACTACAAAACGTGGTACCGACTATCCAGAGTGGTTGTTGGAGCGTTTGTAATAGACTACTCTAGAGCTTGAAGCTTTGAGAGCCTGGGTATAGTCCTAGCAGACGGCCTGATTTTAGGGTTTGGGGTTCTTAACCCTTGCGCTCGCCCTTGCGCCTTGCGCCATGCTGATTTTTGGCGCCATGGTTACACGAAGGCAACATACGTGTGGCCGGCCCAATTAAACACGAAGAGGCGGGGTTTAGCACCATGCCCAAGTCCTTCTAGTGTGAACAACAAGTCACCTGAGTAAACTAAAGCAGCCATGATCAAGCAGCAACATGCAGTGGATTTCGCGATTTCACCTTGCAGCCCGAGGACTCGGAAGAATCATGGTAGACATAGCTACGATCATCGAAAGGTTCTCGCGTCCCAGTACGGACACGTATACATAAGCTCTGACACTCTCCGTGCGCTTTGCGTGCAGAAGAATGCACTGTGCCGGGGCTCCGAGCCTGTGAACAAATTCAACTTGCTGCTGTTCCCGCACGAAGGCTAGCGACGCCTGAGACTTGTCCATAGGAATGAAAATGACGGCGCCGCAGTGGCTTCTGGGCGGTCGTCTATCAGCTCATGGGTTTCCCCAGGTTGGCCATGTCACTGCCATGTCTATGTTGCTCATTTTGCAACCAAGACACTTCGCACTCAGTAGCAAAGCGCCACGTCCGCAGGCTAGAAGCGAGCAAGTAGCGCTCGAGGCACCTCTGCTGGTCAGCACCCAAAAAAAGCCGCAAAATGCCACCAGCTGAGTTCGTAGCTGCAGGTGCTGTGAAGCTGTCCTTCATTCTTGAGTTTGAGCCCTGTGCCCCCTGGTTCAAGCTGGATCTCACGTCTCAGTCCTGAGCAACAGCTGTGAACGCACAGCTCTGCAGGCCTCAGTCCAAAGGCACTGTGTCGAAAGATTGGAACTTGAGGTGCTCATTTTTTATGACACAACTTTTGCAGTGATTCACTTTAGGCACTTTCCCGCAAGCAGCTGAACGCGGGCAAGTGCGCAATGCACAAAAGATGACAGGCAATGTTGGACGGATTACAGACTCTGGTCGGGTTTGTGGTCTGCCCCATCGGGATCCCTCGGGGTTCTGGGAGATGGGGCTTTCGCGCTTCGTGACAGCGTGCGTGCCGCCATTGCTGAGAGAGCCGAAAACCAAATTATTTCTTCTCAAAGCGCGCAGCGCGGCCGCCGAAACGGCAGTAAAAGGGCTTTGACACCTACAGCCTACACACCCACAGTCGTTGTGACTAGGCGTGCTTGCCTACTGGCACTGATTGCCCGGGCGCTTTCCAGGCTGGTGCTGAGCCCAAACTCCCACAGGGAAAATTGAGGTGAGAAAAGAAAGCCTTTGGTTACTACAGGCTACAGGACCTAATTATTTCCCACCCTCTCTTGGTAGAGATACTCTGGGGTTGGGCACTCCAGGGAGACTCTGGGGCTGGGCACTCCGGGGGTTTGGGCACTCCAGGGAGACTCTGGGGTTGGGCACTCCAGGCAGACTCTGGGAGACTCTGGGGTTGGGCACTCCGGAGACACTGGGGTTGGGCACTCCAGGGATGAGCGAGGAGTAGACTGGGCGAGGAGAAGAGTTTTGGGCGAGGAGAAGAGCTCCGGGCGAGGAGAAGGGTTGAGCTTAAACTCTAACAACCCCACATCGAGGGTGGGGAAAAAAGGCTATTCGTGTGCTTGGCATTCGCCATCTATCCAGTGATCAAGGACTTGTTATTGTTGGCCCGCGACTCTGGACTCTGGACATGACTGGGAGCTTGGCTCGGGCTTGCAGGATGGTAACTTCGGCAAGGTCCTGCAGAAACTTTGCCACCACGCCCCCAACGTCAGCTCAAGGCCAGAATCATGCATTTCAAAAAACTCTTTGCCTTCGGCATCGCCTTGCTGGCAACAGCTTCCAGTTCGGCGGCCATGCCTTCTCATGAGCAAAGAAACGGATTCCGAGTTTGCAGAAACCGAGGGAGTTGCTGTTAAGCGTATGTTGCAAGCATGGTCCAGGGCCAATCCATCCGAGCTTCCAGCGCCACAGCACGAACATGATTCTCAACCTGCCCGGGCCAAGTTCTAATGTTCACAGTCGGTTTTTCTGCATTGTACAACTTATCACGATGCCGAGACGGATATTGACTGCCGCGGCTATTGGCCAGACAACGTTTCAACCAGTGGACCAGTAGACCCAAAGCAAGCAGAAAGCTCGTTTGTGGATACTGGATAGGCAGCATCGGCTCAGTGCACTTCATCTTTTTGAAGTTGGGGGTTCTTGAAGTTTCTCGTTTGGCATATCGGCTTGCCGGGATTCCAAGTTCAATCAAATTCATCTATTCGTTTCTATTTGTCCTTCTTTCAAGGGAGCATGCGTTCCGGCAGTTGCTCAGGGGGTCCGTAAACATCAAACGACAAAGTTCGCCTGGAAGAGGCTGCTAGAAGCACTCGCTCGGAGATGGTCTCCACTCGGCCTGGAAGTCCAAACTGCCGGGCGCTGCTCGGCAAAATGGGATGCAACATGACTTGTGAAGGCCTGTCACATCTAATGATGGGTACTGCGCCCTCGCACCCTTCCGCAAAGGTGTTTCTATTCATGCAGTATTTGCCGTGCATTCGTATGCACCAACCTTTGCGGACCTACGCGACCATGCATTCTGCCTACGCCCGACTTCCAATGATCGCGTCTCTTTTTTTACAGAAACAAAACACTGCTGAAATGAAAAGCAGACTCCCAACGCGAGCAGCAAGAAAGGCTGGAAGATGGAAACGACCTGGAAATCATGCAGGTGCGGCCACAAGGGCCATGAGCCGATGCGAAGCTTTGCCTGGTCAGGCTTGCAAGGCTGCATCTTGTGCCCTTCGTTTGAGCTTGATTTGAGCCCCAGTGCCTCTTACAGACTGCTGCCCAAACGCGAAAGAAGCCCTCGACCGTACTCCGGTTGAAAAGAACCTCGGAGCGCCAGCTACCTGGCCTGGCTGTGCAACAGCTAGATCGAGGCTGGCGCGTGAAGCTTCATGTGGCTGCCTCGTTCGATTTCCATTGCAGCCTGGATGTGGGCACTTCATTGAACAGCTGCCACTCCAAACACAACATCGCCGGCGCCATACATTAAGAAACCCGCAACGGCTGCCCAGAAGGCGAAGGCTTGGCGGCATGTCTGCAACCTTCTGAAACAAAGGATGATACAGCTTCACTGATGCTAGCGCTACATGGCTCATCTGGCCTCTCAGAATCATGCAGCAGAGACATGCACTTTGAGCGGCTGTGGAGGCAATCCTGCAGCACTTTTGCAGAATTTCTGCTGCCGAACATGCGTCGCCATGGCTTTTTCTTGGGGCCACACTCTCTTCAGCTGCTGATTGGCATTGTCAATCTGTGCTTGAACACCTGCGCAGGACACGTGCAATACTGCTCGACTTCTTCTGGCAAAGCAGGCCTTCAATCAACTTGTTCCTCTCCCGCAAACAATCTTGGAGCAAAGCGCAGGCATGCACGGTCTCAGACGGTCTCATGTAATGATGCCACTGCACTTCCGAACGACTTAGCTACGCACCCTCGAGCCCACCCTCGATGAAGCTATGGTAGCAGGCCAGGCGCCAGCTTCTCAGCCTACGAAGATCTACAAAGCACTCGTGCCCAGAGATACCCCAGAGATGCCCAGAGCTCTGGAAAGATGCGCAGATGTGCCAAGCAGAGTGTTTTGCATCTCCGCTTCGGCTCAGAAGGTTCTGCCGCCATACTGCTCCTGCAAGGCACTCCAGCAAAACCCGAATTTGGATGTCAATGGATTTGTCTGTATGTGCACCTCCTTGGAAGGGGCTTCAAGACCACTTGCCTGAGATGGCTGCACAATGTTGCACGGTGGCTGCCGCAAGAACTGCACAGGCCTTAAAGACCTCGGCAAGAAAGCGCGCAGATGACTTCAGTGTTCGCTCCTTCAAAGATACCAAGGATGCCAAGACTTCTCAGAAGCACCAGCGACTGGCAGGAACATTAGAAACTCGCCGGCAGACACCTCTGCAAAAACATCCTGTAGCACTGGAAAGATTACCCAACATATTCACAACGAAGGAGTCCTGAGTTGGGAAGTCCACCCGGACAATTCCGAAGCGCTTTGTATAGCCTCCAAGAATATCCGCGACTCTACTCCCAACAGCTTCATCTCGGGAGAGCTGCCTTCAGCCCATTCAAAGTTGTCCAGGAAGGACCAAGCAAAGTAGCCACGGACCTTCCACACAGCTTCCGGTGGCAGAACACAGTTGATCGTTGATCGTACAATCTGGAGAAGGCACATCTGCTCCGTGGGAGATGGCCGCGTGCACAGCACTCAAGTGAGCCCTGGCTGCATGCAACTTTCATGATCATCTGCAGAAGCGGCGTGATACGAGCATGGTCTTACAAAGAACTGCCTGAAGAAGCGAACACGCTCCGGGTCTTCGAAAACAAAATCTGTTTCTTGCCTGCAGCAGGATGCTCTCTCTTGTGACGATGCACAAAAACGCACTTTGTCCGTGCCAAGCAGTCTAGGTTCTTGATAGTTCTTGTGTAGCCGGTCCTCCTGTTGTATGGCCCCCAAGTGTTTCAGCAAACAACATTGTCCCCCCAAAGGTGTGTCCAGTAATCAGCTCCACGTTCAAGATTACCCCTGCGGTCTTCGAATGTCGGGGCATGCAAAGAGCTGGGCGAGCCCCCTTCCAAGCCTTCAGAAACAAACTTGGCGTGAAGCTGCAACCGGACGTTTGTGAAAGTAAAGAGTGGCTAAAAGCCCAGCTTTCTTCGACACTTGCGCCCCCGTGGCCGTTCAACAATAAATTTGGTCATTATCACACACACACACACACACGTGGCATATTCGTTGGCAAACCTGTTGAACCCCCGCTCACAGAATGTTGCTGCAGCACCTGCTGCTGCACAGGAATCTTGTTTGTCGATTTGCTCGGCTTTGCATACTTCGTCATCGTCATCTAACGTCGGCAGCCAGCTCCGGGCCCAAAGACCCCACAGAGGGTGAACACTCTAAGATGCAATCAAGACGGTGACTATGTAAAGCTTCGATCTGCACTGCATGCTGGCACCCGACAACTCGGCCTCCAAGCATCACCTGCCTCCATCGGTGTGAGGGCATCTGGCCTGCTCAAGGGGATCTTGCAGAACTTCTTCGGCACACGAACACGACTTGAAGATTCTGCCTGCAATCGAGATCTGCCTAAGCGGAGATGCAAGTCGATCAAGCTGGTTCTCCATGAGACATCGCAAGGAAACAACTCAATCACAGCCGAAGTGAAAGCAAGCGGCTGACTCGTCACTTTCGCAAGCACACCCGTTCTCTGTGATGAAGATCCCACCAGTTGGTCGGTAGCGCTTCTGCGAAGGGAGAACGAAGGCGAGAGGAAGCACATGACAGCACATGTCGATGAGCCCCACACACATGCACACATGCTCTAAGTCACTGCTCCTGAATGTATAGCAGGATCTCTCGCAGAGACCACGGCACAATCGGCCAACCCATATCAGATCTCTCCCAATCTGGATCCGTGTGCCACCACTCCACGCCTTGGATTCGCTGCCTCGCCCCTAGCAAGACGCAGTGTACACAAGCATTCAAGATGTCGTCACTTCAGATGGCTGCAAGTGCTGCGAAGCGACCAATATCATTCCAATAGCCCGAGCCCTGGTCAACAGCTGGTGGCACTTGCTGGAGCTGAATAACCAACTGTCTCGTCAAAGTCTGTCAAACGGAGGCTTCAACAATGCTTCAAATCGGAGTCAGTGATACTCCCAGCCACCAAGGGTGTTTTGTGGGTCCCTCTCAGGGTGGCTCGTGATATCTCTTGAGCAACTTGTAGATAGGATGTTACATGGCTTGGGCCGATGAGCATCGAGAGCTCAGAAGCCCGTACTCAGCACATCGAACGAGAACGCTCCGAGCATGTGTCGACATGTACACGACCCTGGCATGCTCGTGCATTCGGGCTTGCCACACAGTAAAGGTCAGCGAGTTCGCGGAAACTCTTTGAAGATCGACATGGACACTGCAAGCGACAGCATGCCCATAACATCTTTGTCGTGACTTTCTACACTTACAATAGTTTGCAAGCAGGCGAAGATTCTTAAAAGGTTCCTAAACAGATCCAAAAAAGGGCCTCCGGCGGCTGTTGCGCAGCTTTGGCGAAATTGGCGCTGTAGCAATTCCTCGGGGGCAAGGGCAGCAAGAGCGTCAGAAAGCATCGGGCGTATATCTCCCCCGCCCTCTTGCCCAAGACAGCTTATGCATCACTGATTTTGCTGGCTTTGCAATCGGGCTCGAGAGGCGAAGAAACTGTTCGGAGATGTTCGGAGTCTCCCAGTCCAAGCCAAGATTCAGACCAAAGAAGTCAGCCGAACCTCGAAGAAGTGCTGACTCTCCAGGCGTAAAGGCTGGAAGCCTGGCGGCAAGGGGGATCTGTGAAACGCTGGTGGCCCCGGAGCGCTTCATGCTCGCCTGCCTCTCACCGCAAGCTTTCTTCATGCATTCTGGATAGTCCTTTCGACGAGAAGCTGGCAAATTGGTACTAGACATCTGTCCCGCGGCATCACAAGGCACGATGAAATCAAGTGTCCCCCTCAAACACTGGCTGTGCGAACCAGCCAAGAGAGAAGTCCATGGCCCGGCGAGCGGCATGCCGAGCCTCACAGCGACAACCTAAGGCGTCTCATGCGAAATATCCCGAGGAATCCGTGAAGGCAAAAGATGTCTTCGCCTCGCTGGTGCCGTCCATTGGCTGACGCCAGTCGGCATTCAGAGAAATGCCGATCTGCAAGCCACCCACATGTTTCAAATCCCAACTGAAATTCCCCTGCCACAGCTGGTCACGGCCTTGCCTGACCCTTCTGATGTGCAAAGTCCTTCGCAGTCTTAGAGTCTGGAGTCTCAGAGCCAAGTTAGGCGTGCCAAGCAAACGAGCGGGTGGTCTTGATGTTGCTTCTTGGAGGTTGGATTCTGGCTGCATGCGCACCGTGACAGCCACTGCTGCATTGAATCCCACAGAACTCCACTTCACAGCATGCCATATCCACCGGACTTAACCTCGGCATTGTACAGATAACTCTCGCACCATTGCTTTCCAAGCTTTGGGGCTGAGTGTATTTTACATGGCTAAAACCGCGACGAACCCAAAGACCGTGTCTGTGTGTGTGGCCGATTGGCAAGATATGTAAAGACGATTCCTTGGTAAACGAGAATGCTCAACAGCGAATCTCCTTCTAGTGTCTCCAACCGTGAGCAAGGAACCCCCACTTCGGAGTTTGATTGTCAATGCTTGGATGTTTCACTGCTTGTGGCTTTTTCGTTTGCTGCTTTCTTGCTTCGTGCCGCAACTCGCAGGCTTGTGAGCAACGACTTTGTTAAATATCATGGCTTTCTTGTGTCACTGCACTACACCCAATTGGCAAAAGGGAAAAAACACGGCACCACACGCGCAGAAGTCCTCGCGGAAAACCCGCACCGCTTCCGCGTGCGCCAGGAGCATGTGATGACCTGCACCGTGTACAAACTGTTCCCTGCACTGATTGGACTCAGGAATGTGATGGCTGCGACACCAGGAAATGCAAAAGTTTGCCACAACGACAAGGAAAACCCGGGAAAGCTTGCACCATAAAGCTTGCATCAGGAACTGCGAAGCTCGACCACGGAGCCAAGATGATACCAAAGAACTAAGGACCACAAGCACCGTCCACAGAGCGCCTGCAATGTACGGTGCACTGTCAGCCGAATCGGTGTGGCCAGGAGCATGGTCACCCGTGTTGTAGCCCAACACCTCTCTCGAACACTAGAGCAAGTTGAGCACAAGTTCTACACGAAATCTGGTGCTGTGGACAACACAGGAATTTCAAACTGAAACTCTAAGGCCAGGTCCGCACTGCACCACGGCCTAGTTTGGCAAAGTGCTTCATAGTCTATCAACCGTGGTCACCTACCTGATCACCTACTGCCGAGCGGTCTAGGTTCTCCACTCATTTAGCGTGATCCAACGTTTCACTCGATCGCCGAAGCTGTTGAAGCAGGTGCGGGCATAAGTCGAAAAAGCCGATGTAATGGAGTCCTCCACCAAGGGCGCTTAAGGACACTGCTCACAGAAGGCCATGCCTTGCTGTCAGTGTCCTTGGGTCCCAACCAGTCGAGAGCCGCGGGCAAGTCCCAATGGTATAAAGTCACCCAAGGCTCGATGCCTGCTCAGAACTCCTCACTCTCTCATGCGAATTTGCGGGCGGACAAGGTAGGCTCCTGCTGCAAGGAGGCTGTCAATCAGGTCCGAGTAGAACTGAATCCCTTCCTCTGCAATTGACAAAAGTGCTAAAAGGAACTGGCCAAGGCGGACCAAGGCCACCTCGTTGATGCGGCCACTTCCGTCTAGAATTCGGCTCCATGAGATTGAAAAGCGGTACGCTTTGATGTTGACCTTGGACATAAGGTCTACGTCCTCCTCCGGCAACAGCGGCAGAGTCACACGCACACCTGCAATTACAAATCATACAACGTGACATGCTTGTGCAAAGGCTCCTTGAACAGATGGTAGTGGTCGCAGGCCACATCTCCCGTGGCCCCATTGCTTGTAGTGCCAGGCCTATGAGCAAAATCATCCCAGATGGATGGCTTTCGGCCATACGAGTCGGAAGCCCCCTGCACAAAGTCAGTCTTCACATCTGAGCAAAAGCTCCATCACTCGCCATCCCAGACTCAGGGTCCGTGTCTAGGGAATGAGCATCTCCAGCGGATGGCCTCGATCTGGTATGCCGACGTGGCCACCCCAAACACAAACGAGTCTGGGAAAGCCAGGAAGCCGCTTTTGATGGCTGGCCTTAGAAATTCCTGTTTTTTCCGCCCTCTGCCCCCAATTCAATCCGAGAAGGAAAGCACGTTATGGCACATTCCCCAGACGTCGATGCATCTTAGTCGCTCAGCCGGCTCAGCTGCACAAGGCAATCGCGACCATCGCCTTCGGCAAGCGGCGGCCTTGCAAGACACTCAGACTCTTGCCTCCGCTGCTTGTACAGACAGCGGTCAACTTTGGCTGTCGTGGAATGATAGCAAGCCACCGTCACAGCCGCCACAGCCGCTACCGCCAAGGCAGGATCTTGCTGCACAGGCACCTTATTCACCGCAGAGGACCCAAGAAGCAACGTGCGGAGTCGGTGAAGAGAGCATTGAAGAGCCAATGGAGCCACCATGTAGGCATGTGAAAATAAGACGTGACAATCGGCAGGCAAAGCATGGTGAAGGAAATGAATCTGCCGTGACAAGTACAGGGTGACATCTGAACTGAGGCATGCGGCTGCTCTGAGGCGTCCGTGCTGCCAGTGTGGCGCATGCCTCGGCTTCAAAGGCTTTCAAGTTCCGGTGTGAATGTCATGTTCGACATGACATGTGCACCGCAGAAACAATTAAACAAAGTTGCCACGCTGGATCTGCAATCCTTGACGAAGGCGTTATACTCAACGCCATGGCACATGGCTCTGAGGAAGGCGGAGTTGTGTTCGCCGCGTTAGGTTGATTTATCCCACGTTCCGTGATCCCACGTTCTGTGAGGAGTGCATATGATTGCATAAGAAGTTCCGGCAGTCATACAGATAGCTCATGCATGCTCATGCATTGTCTGTTGGCTTGCCACCTGGTCTGACGGCTGCAACAGACAGTCAGCGACGGGATGCGGCGTGGTGGCCCTGAAACACTGGGCCTCCGCTTGAGAAAAGCCGACTGCTGATCCTGGACCATCTCTGCCAGCACGTGCTGGGACCTGCACAGTGCACAGCAGTTCCCGGCGGCAACTGCTGCACAGCCCAGAGCGCCAAACCAGCTCAGAGTGCCGTGCCTCAAGGCTCTCAACCTCCATAGCCGAAGCGCTTTACTCAAGGTGCTCGCCCACCGTGCAGCCTCATAATGTGACCTGGAGCAGGACGAGGCTAATACATCACATATGGAGCCTAGAGAAGAAGCCAAGTCCTTCGCAGCCTCTGCGAGATGGTGTCCTTGAGCATGCATCTTGCTCTGGCTAGCTCTGCAAGCTCCTGCAACAGCTTGAGATAGGAAGACAAAACATGTTTTGATCAGTGCGGACGAGTCCTGTTGCTCGTTGCGACGCTTCTCAACTGCCTCACCACGCGGATTGGACTGCGATGGCTCAATGGTGATCTGACGACAATACGACGTCCGTGCCTCGTGCAGCAGGCAGTTGAAGCGCTGAACGTGGGAGCACTCCTGCGAGCTCTTGCTACCGTGCACCGGGCTCGGCGTGCGTTCAAGCTCGGGTCAGTGGGTAAGGCAACGGTCTCTGATTGCAGACATAACCCATAGCCATTCCTGACGAAGCTTCGTTAACCTGAGCTGCAACGAGCCACACGCGTCCAGAAGGCATGCTGTGAGGCATCTCTCACTTTGAAAGCTTCAAGACTTTGAGGCTTCAAACTTCAGGCCTTCAAGACCGTAGCCCGAAGCTTTCAAACCTAAAGCCTCTAGCCGTCAAGGCTGGAGGTCTGGAAGCTCAAGATGCCCAGCCTCCCAAAAATCAACTTTTGCCAGGCCCTTCCAAACAACTTCCTCAGCCAAAAGGTCACCGAACTATTCGGGATCTATGTTGTTTTGGCAAGGGGGATTACTAATTGCTGATCAGAACCCCATATTAGGATAGGCATGGATAGTCATCGCATACTGGACCAGGCAGCTGCTGAAGGAGCTGCGATGCTTCCCCTGTGACCTCAGCAACGCGCAAGGGACCCATCTACCAAAGCAAACTCTAAAAGTTTCCATGCCCTCAACTCCCTCTATTTAGCCAGGCCGCCCCGATCTCCGCAGGGACGCGCTCCCATGCCATGGCCCAGAGCACCACCAAACACCATCAAACAGCCCTACTTATCCGGCCCGCTCCTGACTGCCCGTGGTCAGTGTCTGTAGCTGTGCAACTCAGAACCTAGATGGCAGCGCGTGTAGAGCTGCAGCAGCACCAGCGCTTGCGTCAGAAGTTTTTGAGGATCCCATCCAGTTAAGTTAAGCCTTAGAGGAAGGTCCGGACATGAACTGGCAAGCCTGCCTGTTCAAACACATTTCCGGAGTACTTGGCAGCAATCAGCCTTTCCGAACCGATTTTAGACCATCGACTGCAGTTGCAGCAGGGGCTCGAAGCTGTTCGAGGGCCAGGGTGCGACGACTTCAAACTCCAGCCAAGGCAAACTGGCTCCACTTGCTTCACTCTCTTCATCCAAGATTTCACCGAAGACTTGCAACCCTTCATCCATGGTGTCCATCTCGAGCTGGATGCTGTAACACGCATCGGACTTTACCCAGGGCCTGCGACCACCTGAAATGATACTCGCACGGAGAGATTCGGCATCCCAAGCGGCTTCAGCATCGTTTCGCTCGTTTCGCAGCACCTTTGCAGCTTCTTTCCATCTACCCATCGCTAAATGCCGCGCAAAACATTGAGCCTCCACTCGAGCTCTCGCCTGCAGCAACCGAAACTCACTCTCAGTTTCTGGAGCTCTGCCCCGAGAAGTGGGAGACACGGCTGTAAGGCGTTGCTCGGCAGAAGCAACAGCTTCTGAAGCTTCTGTGGTTTCAAAATCAACCAACTCCAGATCCTTCAGAGCCTCCCATTCGCGCAACAAGCTCGAGTCAGAGCCATTGATCGTTGTCAGAAGGAATGCTTCTATGTCCAGCAACTCATCAGTCTTGAAATCATCTGGGATATTGTGTTTTAGAGTCTTGTGCACTTGAGACAAGAATCGGAGGAGCAACCCTTCTTGTTGAAGTACTCGCTTTGACTTGTCCACTGAGCTCAGCTTCTTGATAAAGCCAGAGAAGGACAGCTGTGCATCGAACATTTCCAAAGCAATGGCCTTTGGCTTCAACGATTCACGCGACACCCATGGATGTCGTTCCAAGAAGTTCTCGAAGGCAGGCCACAGCACGTCTTCGCAAGGCAGTCGGGGTTCCTTTCTTCCCTTGACGCGTGCCTGCACAGATTCAGGTGAGCCTACCAAACAAAAACCTGGAAGTAAAACAATGGATGCCTCATGGCACCCTAGGCAGACGGGCTGGTGCAGCACGAGACAGCTTAATGCCCAGGTTCCTTCTTGCGACTGGAAAGAGGAGGCGGTTGCTCAAGATGTTTGGCGTTACAGTGGTACAGCAGCTGTCCCTCTCCACTCTCCACTCCCGAGCCCCCCCGCCCATGCTACGTGCTCGCAAGGAGTGTATAAAATCATACCAGTGAAGCATTCGGATGTCCAGGCTGGACAGAACGGGACAGTACCTCGCCCTGCACGAAGTTTCTCTGCAGCACTCTACTGTAACGGGCTCGAGGAGTGAAAAGACCATCGCCCTTGAAAGGCTGCATAGGCCCAGGCACTCGAAGCGCTTCGGCTGATGTTGAACTGCTCTGAACAAGTGGCGTGTGGAACATCGCTGTTGAGAAACGGTTCGGGGCGAACTCTCAGACATTCCGGCACTACGGCTGGTAGATCACGGGGGCAGGAACAAGCAACATTCCGGGGCAGCGCTGAGTGATTGATATTCTTCCCTTAGCATCCAAAGCTGTGTACATTACACACACAAATCGAAGTCTACACACGCTACTCACCGAGTGTTCCCAAGTGTTCCCTGCTGCCACTTCTGTCATCTGCCTGGGCCCGCACCACGGCCTTCGGTTCCTCGCAGATGGCCTCGACCACTGAAAGCATTGCTCTTGCCAGCTTCCCGTTGTCTCCAGCATAGCCCCATTGTAGCAGTGGCACGACATCCACTAGGAACAGCGACACATCTTCCATTAACAGAAAATCTCGTTGTAAGGTGCTGTCAGCTTGGAGCAAATCTCCATACCTTTGAATAAGCCCAGCACTAGACAGTGCTTCTGTGTACTGATGCACTTGCTGAGCCCAATGCTGCTTATCTTTCTTGCCACATAAGGATAAGGAGATGAGCTCGTGCACTTCAGCCATTCCATCCCGACTGTGCTGCTGCGCTCCCTGCAACAGACTCAAAACGTGGCCTTGGCTAAGCTGGAAGCGGGACATCAGTGGCGAAGGGGCTGACGTTCGCAGATCGCAAAACGTTTTCTCATCCCACTCGACGAAGTTAAACTTTGGAGACCGACGTCTCTTCTTCAGCCGCTCGCGCTCCTTCTTGTTCTCGGCAGACTCTATCTCTGCTTGCAGCTTGCGGTTGTATACTTCGTGCGCGGGTGGGATTGCAACTACGCTGCCTTGGGTGTCATATCCTCTCCTCCCAGCCCTTCCTGCAATCTGGTGGAACTGTCGTGGGGTCACGAGAACAGTGGTCTCGCCGTTGTACTTGCAAAGCTGGGTGAACAACACGCTTCGGATGGGCACATTGACGCCAACTCCGAGTGTGTCAGTACCACATATGCAAGTGAGCAATCCTGATTGAGCCATCCTCTCCACCAGGCGTCGGTATTTCGGAAGCAAGCCGGCGTGGTGAAGTCCGATGCCATTAACAAGAAGCTGCCTCAATCTATCACCATACGGCGTATCGAACTCCAAGCTTTTGCACTCCTCTGCGAGTACTTGCTTCTCCTGCTCGCTTGGTGCCAGTTCTTTGCACACCAGTGATTGCGCTAATGTAGCAGCGTCCTGTTGAGTAAAGCAAACAGCATACACAGGGGTGCGTCCTGAGCCGACTAGGTCATTAATGGCATCTTTTGCCGTCTTGAACAGATAAGACCAATCGAGGGGAACCGGGCGATCAGTAGATGTTATCGTCTGCACCTCACGCCCCGAGTATGCCGACAGGTTCGAGTACAACGCCTGGTTGCTCCCCATTGTCGCAGACATTAGTAAAAATGTAACATGAGGCAGCCTGAAGAGAGGAACTTCCCAAGCATAGCCGCGGCTCTTGTCATCAAAGAAATGGAACTCATCCATGACAGCATATGCAAGGCCTGCAGCTGGACCATCTCGCAGGGCCACATTCGCTAGAACTTCAGCAGTGCAGCACAAAACTGGCGCTGTTGGATTAATGGAGACATCACCTGTTGCCATCCCAACCAGCTGCGGACCAAAATCATGGCACAAGGAAAAGAACTTCTCACTCACAAGGGCTTTAATCGGGCACGTAAAATAGGCCTTCTTGCCCTCAGCAATCGCCCGGAACAGCATGGCCGCAGCAACCAGAGACTTGCCACTGCCAGTCGGCGTGCTCAATACAACATGAGTGTCTCCGAAAACCGCATCGATTGCTTCTGCTTGCTTTGCATATAGCTGCAGTCCTTTATCTGCGACGGACTCCAAAAAGTCCTGCTTAATGCTTTGAGGATCATGGGGATGCTGCCGGGCACGCAACAGGTAACGCTTGGACGAAGGCTCTGAAACAGGCGACTGCTCAGTCAATGGCAGCCGGCTGTCTGTTGCAGAAGACTTTCTGTCGCACTGCGCACGGCTCTTGCGACTGGTGCCTCTGCCCACGCAAGCCGTGCCCAACACGAGCACGGCCGCACAAATGCTTCTGCAAGAGGGTACGGCTTCTGCACGTGTTGCATCCAGACGCTCCGTGTGAATAGAGATTCCAGAGATGGACGGTGAAGTTGCATGGGGCAGCGAGGGAAGAGCTAGCATTGGGGCAGCAGGGGAGTTACGTGCAAAGCTATCTTCCACCACTCGGGCACATCGGGCACCTCAGAGCTTCCCAGGTTTGCAAAGTGTCAAAGATCGCAAAACGCCTGGCAGACAGGCACGTAATCTTGCCCGGTCGCATGTGATGCACCCTTTTGCTCTGGCAGGGCTGAATCACCTTTCGGAGAGTCGAGTACTTCAACACTGCCACCCGCAAGTAACTTCTGGGCTTCATCAGTTCTCCACCTGGAACACATGAGCAGGTGTGGGAGGAAGGATGAGGAAGGTAAGCCGACCCACAAGCTGGCACCAAGCTCCCGGCTGACATTCCTTGTTGACCACACGCACCATCTCCTCGATTTCAGGCGATGTCGCAAACCAGACCGAGAGAGAAAGGGCGAGCGATGGAGCAAGACCGAAAAGACCGACTCAGCTTCGCGCGCGCTCTTGAAGGTGCTGGAACTTGTCATGGCCAGCCTCGGTTCTGTCCATCCCCGATCAACGTTCTACCGGCAGCGCCTCAGGCACGGTCCCAGAGAATCTCGCCATCGTGTCGGACCTTACATGTCAAGTGCCTGCCTGTCGGCAGGTATGTTTTGGGGCAAATCGAGGCTGCGGCCACCATCGAATAGGCTCGTCCATCATCGTGTATCTGCCTTCAGCCATGCTTTTTGTGTTCCACGACTTCGCTAGAGAGGTGACCGCCGGAGACGTCCACAGGCCCCCGCATCCGTTGGAAAAAGTCGCTGGACCAAGAGGCTGTCGACAGAATGTGGACCTCCGCCGGAAATTGCTGTGCTCTCTGGGCGGTGACACAAGTCGATGCTGTTAGCCTGCGTATGTTCCTCTTCCAGCAAGCCAGCCCAATGTCCTGAGACCGACCAACAAGGTACAGACAGCCGTGCAAATGCCTAACCGATTCTCAGGTATGGTCGAATGCGGTACCGCCACATCCATCGCAAAGGCCAGAACCTGGGACGACATGCGCAAGAGCCATGCCCATAAACTTTTATTTCCGGCCATGCGTCCATGGCAGCAGGCAACAAATGTACATCTGCATCTCGCCCTGCAACAACATGCCGTCCCTTATTGCTTCGAAAGCAAGACTTCAAAGAGCAGCGAGCAGCTTCATTCTGAGGCCTTCAACGCAAGGCTCCGCTCCATGAGCAATCGCTCCCATGCCGTGCGTACCCCTGGCGCCATTGCACATTCTAACCTAACTTTCCTAACTCGAAATCAAGCCAACGTCATAGGCCTAACCAAGAGTCCGCATGCTCGATGTGCTTCCGTCTGGTCATAAGCATGACTACGTGCACACCTAAGCAGAGAGCTGCATCTTCATTCCGCTCAAACCGCATCGGCTGTCTTCCAGCCTGTCGGAAGGTCATCGGGCAGAGTCAGGACCTGCACGTTATGAAAGAGAACCTCAAGGCCGAGTTACACACAGAAGATGGGCAACATGCCTGAGTTCGACGACCGAGAGGTCCATGAAGCCAACAAGGCAACTTGGCCTTGAAAGACGTTGCTTCCGAAGCCCGAAAATCAGACCGGCAAGAAGCACGTGGCCCTTTGTGACGCAAACCCCAAAACCCTAGAAGGAGATGGTGAATCCCTAGGAGCAGATGTTGGGGTGTCAAACACCACAGCCAACAAGGACATGTAAAGCCCTTTACGGGGTCTAAAGGGGTGGCAAATCTGAAAACCCCAAGATGTTGGGTGGCAAACAGAGTGGCAAACCCGAAGCCCTGAAAGGAGATGTTGGGTTTTGGGTGACAAACCCTGCACCCCACAAGGGGAGACCTAAAACTTGAGAGGTCTGAACGCGGCCCTAAACCCTGGACGGAGATGCTGGGTGGCAAACCATAACCTGAAATGCTGGCTGGCAAACAAGGCGGCGAATCCTTAACCCTGAAAATAAGTGTTAGGTGGCAAACCCTAAGCTTTAAACGTCTGGGTACAAACCCTAAACCCTCAAAGGACATGTTGGGCGGCAAGCCCCAAACCCTAAATGGAAATCTTGGGTGACCCAAAAAATGGCGAACATTGGCGAACCCAAATCCTTAAAGCTTTTGGGTAGCCGAAAAGTGGCGAACCCTAAACTGCTCTAAACCGTAAAGCTTGCCAAGGTGAGAAGACTCTAGACTCTAGAATCGCACCTGCCCTTGTGCAAACAACCCCCACTTCAATCCGGCTGATACACGGCACTCTACCAGCAAACAATAACATGATGGTGTCTTCCTCATCCTGTCTCCTTGTCTGTTTGTTGTCTACATGACTCTCTCCTGCTCCTCAGGGGATTCGCGAAAATGGTCAGCGGACGTGTCTGCGTCTCTCTTTCCTTCTTTCCTTCTTTCCTTCTGTCCTTCGAGGGGCTAGGGCGGCTAGGGGTCGGGGTCCACTCAATTCGAGCGCCCGGCATGGGGTGCATTGAAAGTTCTGCTGACATGATGCACATCGCTGTGTACCACCCCTTCTCAATCACCCCGCCCCCACCCCTGGGCTGGCACACGCAGATGGACGGCATTGACATGCCCCGTATGCCTCTATATTTCGATTGCAATGAAACTACTTACTAGTGGCACTAGTGACAGGCCAAAACCTCTCCCTTTTTTCTTGCCATGTGACGAAGCGCCGCAAAGCCAGCGGGACCGCACGACCATAATACGCGGTGCTCATCAGGTAGCTCGACTAAGGAAGGTCCGAGTAACACTCGTGAGTCACTCGTGTTGTTGCAGAAGAAGACTCTGAAGTAGCTGCTGAAGCGAGTCTCAGCAGCACGATTGGAAGCCTCCTGTCAAACCATACTGATGCTGTGCACCACCAAAAGGTGCATCCCTCTAAGAAAATGACAACGAAGTGCACATGTCAAGCGATGCCACTAGTTAAGGCAGTGCATCAATGCTCGGGCCCTGTGATCAAAGTACAGCACAGATTGTCAACTCTGCACAAGCAGGCAGGATTTTTCACTGTTAAGACCAGCTTGGTTTCATCAGACTGAGTTTAGCATCAGCCCCGGCTAAGATGGCCATTCCGGGTAGGAGCCAAGAGTTAAACGACTTGGGTTTGAAAAACGCCTCGCTCTTTAAAATTTGGCTGGCACTGCCTTTGGCGGTGCAGCTTTCCTGTCAAACAACACTTACGAAATCACTAGGGTTTGGTACTGGCTGCCAAACAGGAAGACTGGATTCAAATGAGGGGGTAAGCCTGTTTCAGGCTTACGCTGGAAGCCTTATAGACTTACCATAACCCGACTGACTGCCTTTGCAGGAGTAGCAAAGTTGAAGGCAGCAAGAGAGTCCTCAGGCAGCAGTGAGATGCCGGAACGTCAGAATATTTCTCAACACAAACTGACCGCTTAGGATGGGAGCATAGGCTTGCTCTGGTATTTCTGGGAGTTTTTTAAGACAAGTTTTGCATCCACAACGGTTGCAAGCCATCCAGGCTAAGCAATCGTTTGTAGCACGAGCATGCCTAGCTAGCCATGGTTACTTGAAGGAGTGAGCAAAGACAAGCCGGGTCCTTGCGCGCATTCTGCGCGACAATGACAGGCAGATTATCAACGTTGTCAACCTGTTCTTCCAAGGGCTGGAAATGTGCCAAGAGCGCCAAAAGCGCCAAGAGCACCAAGAGAGCGCCAAGTTTGCCACCAATGATGATCTCAAGATATCTTAAGCTTGGGCCTGGCTCGCGGACGTGTCAATGCTGGGTGGCAAGACCTTCACAATCTTCACAGTGAGTGGCACAGCATTGGTGAATCGCCGTCGACAAGCTGACGCGTGACGGCGCGCCTCTTCCTGTGATGTTGCTGGAGTCTCAACGTCCAGCGCTCCAGCCAGAGTGCTCTGAGTACTACATGTCTCCTGCTGAAGAATGCGCAATGCACACGCGAATGCAGTTCTGCCGCAGGCCAAATGCTGAATTGCTCCTGTCGCCCAGGAGGCATCAACGCCGTTGGCTTCAGATCCTGCTCAGAGAGATGCTCGGATGTTTCATATTGTTTCACACTCTTTCACGTTATTTAGCAGTACTTCGCATTATTTCATATAGGTTATGCTTCACCGCTTAACATTGACATTCCAAGGCTGTGGCCACCTGGTTTCCGCCACTTGGGGCAGCCTCCGCAGACTTAGGCAGTCACTACGCCGCGACTGACTCCGAAAAACTGATTGTTGCAGTGGATTCGTGGATCCCGAGCCTCGTCTTTCAAGACGAATACATGCGGCTCGCTGGCGATGGAAGGAGTGGTCTGCTTGCAGGGGGCTTCAGCTGGAGTGGAACTGAGGACTACCAATGCTTCAAAAACAAAGGGCTCCTGAATCACAGGTCCATCATTTGTGAGCTCATGTGCGCCACTGCTCCTCCGAGAAGGGGCCTGACTATGGTGCAGTGCACAGAACACTGTGCAAGTTCACACCCAGCGATCCAGTAATGCCATCGAGCAACTTGCTGCGCATTCGCTGCTCTTTGCAGACTCTGCTTTTGGCTTGCTCTGCTGGTCCTCGGAGTGGCCTGGGACATGGTCAAACATTCCACATAGCGCTTGAGCTTCACAGGCCCTAAAGCTGTTTGTGGGACCTGCGGAGAGGCTTCGTTGCCGCTGCCTTGCTTCGAGCTTGCAGGGCTGCTCCTCCGTGACAACACCTTTCCGTCACAGAAGGGCAACAAGAGCCAAGCTGATAAGTGATACTGGTTGCTTCCCAAACATGCTGTTCATGCATCATTCTGGAAGCCTCAGAGTCGATGGGCCCTGTGAGCTTCTCCGCTTGTGGTCTCTCGTTGCTTCGCGTCCGCTGTGATGGACGTCGACTCGGGCTGGCCTTCGCTCTCATCCGCTCTGGACTTTTATTCTTGGAATCGCAAAGACAGCCGGCCAGGCACTGAAAATGACTGAAATCAACTGAAATCAGAGCGGTCATAGCTTCGCCGAACCATCACCACGCCATGGCGCCGGAATCTTCTTTGGGCAGCTCGACTCCAGTTCCGTAGGGCTGTCAACCTGCAGGTCTCCGCTCTCCGCTGTTCGAGAACGCGGATGGTTCCAACATTTCAAGGTTGCCAAGCACAGTCGGAGCCCAGTCGGGAGAAGCAAAATGCCGCTGCAGAACACAAAGAAGACAAAAACGGGATAGGGAAGACTCGGACTCCGCCGATCCTGACTGGGGAGCCAACGCGGTCTTTTCTAGAGGCTCCCAGCCCCCAACCCCGACCGTAGCCCCCTACGCCTTGGCGGCTGACCCCACCCTTCTTTTTCAGCGTTCACCGCTCCTATTCCTCGCCGGGGCGGCGTCGGCAGCCGTAAGTATTCCACAAGAAATGTTGAAGGCATTGTTTTCTGTGATTGAACTTGTTCAGCTCACGCTCTTTCTCAAAAAAAAATGATTTGAGCAGAAAGATGGACCTTTCAAATGCGGCTTCTTCTCCAGAATAAGCGTGCCTCCTCGACAGACATGTTTGTCTAGAGCAGAAGTATCGGGAGGACAATCTTACCAAAAATGAACCAAAGAAGAAGCAGCCCCGTGAAAAGTCAGAAACAGATGATGTAATGATGCCTTTCTTTTGTGTGAATGAAGGATCAATACTTCCAATCAGGATTGGGAGCGTGCACCATTTGGATGGGCGGTTTGTAGAAAGGCCAGTCTGGATGGGCTGTTTGTAGAAAAGGCCATTCTTGCATGCTTCTGGTGCATTGAACGCTCATGTTGCACCAAACGCAAACAATGGTATTCAGCCACTACGTGAAGAGATATCGATCCTAAATCCATATAAATCGTCAATCTTGACAGCCACAAGTGACCCGAAGGCTGAACACATGCACAAAGACAGCCTAACATGCGCGATCGTCCGTGAACATGCGTCCCCACATCACCTCTGATGACTTGGGATCGAAGCTGCCCGTCGTGGCCGTCATCTTCGTCGGTACGACCTGGACCAGATGTGCACCAGATGTGCAGCACATATGCAAGCGACGAGGATGAATGAGGTCCAGTGAAGTCGGTCACTTGACCGCGTAAGTCTACTCAGGAGTCGTTATCGTCAGCTATCGGCTGCCAAGGATCGGCTTTTGGTGGCTCTGGTCCACAAGCATTTTCCCTGCGATTTGCCTCGCAGCTTGAGCAGCTTCGTATCAAGTCACAAGCTTTTCACCTCTCGTAGCTGTGCGAAGCTATCAGCAAGAGCTCAACCGGCACGAGATCTTCAGACATTCTTGTGCACAATCTGCCATGGGCCTCATGACCTTCCATCGACGTGGCAAGGAGGCCGGCCTGCATAGGTGGTGAACACAACATCGTATTCTGTCATATTCTGACATACTCTGACATATTCTGACATATTCTGACATATTCTGACATATTCTACACCTGACTTGGCTCCAAGCTCAAGCTAACACTCAAGGCCCCGCTTGGAACTGCAGAAGCTATCCTCCGGGTGGAGTTCATCGGATTCCTACTCTTCAGGGTCTTCCAAGAGTCTTGAGAGTCTTGTATCTCAACGATCTGCGCACGCGAGTGGCGACCAAGAGAAGCCTAGGAGTCTCAGCCTGAGCCTCCATTTAGAATATGTGCGCTGTGCTTGTGTCGGCAAGGAATCCACGATGGAAGCTTGTGGGGACAAAGTCGGCAACTAGGCGTATGGCCTTCGGCTTCGACACTTGACGCCGAGCAGGCTCTGCCGAGTCCTTAGAACTAAGCATGCAGAGCTTGTAGCGGATTGTAGCGGCTCTTGCAACGGAGCTTGGCTCGCGGACATTCTTGGGGCTTCATGCGAGCTTCCTCTCACGTATCCCAGCCAGACACTGCTGGCAGACTGCTGGACTCACTTCGTCCATGGTACTAAGAGGAGACGAAGCTCCCTCAAGCAGCTTAAGAAGCTTGAGTGATGTGTCATATCAGATCGAGATGTATAAAACACATCTGAAATGTCGTGATTCGTCCTGTCCCAAATACACGTCTCGCATGGTTCCAGCGACACCACTCGACTGCTACACTGCTAGACGCTAGACACCTCCGTGGATTGCCACGGCGATGCAGGCAAGAAACCGCTGGCAGCAATGATGCAGCAGCACTCTGTGAAGTAGGGGAGGGTGTAACGCTGTCCTCAGCTTGGGAGTGAGAGGCTCTCACACAGGGTTTTCAGTAGCAAAGACGGCATGTGTGAACTTGTGAACCGGGCTAAGAGCAGGGCCTTTTCAGGGCTGGCGCGCCGTCTTCGGGATGACGCCATCTGAGAGAGTTCTAGGGATGACGGAGCAGTGGACACGCTCAGAACGTCGGTACAACTGTACGACTTGTAAAAACTTGTATGTGATTCGAGGGCGATTGAGAACTTGCCTCACCCGCATCGGCAGAGTGCGCCCTGGCCTCGAAATTAATCTTCAAAAAGTCTTTTATAGCTATGGTTTCCAGACTGCTTGTGACGACAGGGGGAGCTCCCGTGGAGTTGCCAGGCCTTGGAGGACGGTCTGGAGCTTGGCCCGGCCACGTCTTTTGCCTCCTTCGGAAGAGAAAAGCGGTTCCAGTTGAGCCGCCTAAGCTTGCCATTCAGAGGCTCTCCTTTTCCGCAGCGGTGGTGGTGACCTGCTTACCTGGTGAGACGGAGCTCTTCTCTCTCGCTGTTTCTAGTGATTCTAGTGTAGACTCCAGACCTCATGTGTTGAACGCTGTCTCACACCGCCCAAAACACTTTCCTCCGTCCTGCTAGTGGCTCTTCAGGCTCCTCGGCCTTCTGCCCGAAAAAGGCACAGAACTCCTGAGCATAAGACGAAGAGCAGAGAATGCAAAGCTGGGGCGGGCTGGGAGGGGCTGCAAGTTGCAAGCAAAAGCCAAAAAGCATCATCCTTGAAGCTGACGTGTCCCTCCTGCAGGCCAAAGTACGAGATTTTCGCGCGCCGTGCGTTCTCGCGCGCAACCCAATCCCCACAACCACCTATCACCATTGTGCGCACACTGAGTCGCAATTAGACAGTTCCGCCCCGGCTCCCCACCCCAACGCGGTAATGGTACCTCATGGTTGTTGGGTTTATGTTCTGGGGGTTCTTGGAGGGTTTGCGGGAGAGTCTTACCCTGTGATGGGAGGGGATGGGGGCCATGGGGAAGGGAGGCATACCTCAGGACCTCAGCACCACAGCACGTCGATTGCACCAGTCAGAAACACTGGATCCGGCAGCTACACATTACAAATGTTGATATGCGCAGAGTGCCATAGGGGCGGGGCAAGCCGATCCGCAACGGCCCAAACAATTAAAATGCCAAAACAGACCCTATGGACCTGCAGGCACACCATGCTGTCCTTCTTCACCTCCTCAGGGAAGTGACCGCCGGAGTCTGCAACTAAAGGTCGCAGGTCCTGGACCGAAGCACGTACACAGTGCATTACTGCGACGTGCTGTATACACGTATACACCTGCGCACATCTTTCAAACACAACTTCCTGCCTTGAGCAACATGTGCACCACTTGACGCGGGCAACCTTACGCTGTTCTACGGTTGAGCTTTCACAGTGAATTTCACAGAACTCGGACCAAATCGGCCTTTCTCCCCAGCGCCAAGCGCCTGAAACTCCTGCACAAGGGAGGACAGCAACAGGCACAGAGGGCAGCGCGGAGCTCCGACATCGAAGGCAAGCCAAAAAAGAGGGGCCAAAAGAGGGGCCAAAAGAGGGGCCAAAAGGCCAAAAGGACTCCCAAACAAGGCTCCTGCAACAGCAAGCCCTGGAGCTCGTCCGTCGAGGCCAGGAGACAGGCAGCACAAAATTCCAGAAACTGGATCGAACCGTCACGGTTTTGGTCGAGTGCGTCAACCAGCTTTTTCGCCGCATCTTTTTGAATTCCGAGCATCTGCGCTGCATTGAACACCTAACAGATGATCACGTCAAAGAAGCTCCGTACCGGTCACAGCGACACGCAAGTCACGCAAGCCGACGCTTGCCTCACTTCTCTCCAGCATGCCATTGTCATCGGAATCAAGCTTGGAAAAAGCCTCATGAGCCAGTTTTGTCATTACACACCACTGCAATGCCTTTCTGAAATCTCTGCCTCGGCAAAGCGGTCGACAAATGCGCACGTCGAAGCCATCTTCAGGAACAGCGCCTCACAGATCAGAGAAAGCACCTTGTACCAGCTCCAGCACGGCTCTCGATTCTCTGAGACTTAGTTGCCCACTTTCCCACATGGACTGGTGCTCGCCCAACGGGTCAGCGCTGTACCTGGCGAAATCGTGCTTGAAACTTCCAGCAGATACTCCACAAGAGGAGACTGGCCATGCTCGCGCATGCTCGCGCAACCTTGCTGCAGAGATGCGTAGGAAAAGTTTTTCGTCTTTTCCAAGGTCGCCCTTTTGCTGCTTGATCCAGGTATGCCTCAGAAGCTATGCAGCAGGACCCTGAGCTCTGAAGCAATAGACTCAGAAAGCAGCAAGGGAGAAAAAAGGAAAAAGACGTTGACACTGAGGGAGAGGAGGAGGGGGAGAGAGGGAGGGAGGGAGGGAGAGAGAGAGAGAGAGAGCGGGCGAGCAACTAGTTTGACAGAGTGCGCTAGACTGGGTCAATGATGTTAGCCGAGAACAAGCCGGACGAGACTGTCTCTGAGTGACTGGACTTAGCCACACCTAGTGAGACTGAGTGAGGGAGAGAGAGAGAGAGAGAGAGTGAGAAGGGGAGTGATGAGTAAGGAGAAGGAGAGAGAGTGGGAGAGAGATGAGAGAGAGACAGAGAGAGAGACAGACAGAGAGAGAGAGAGGGCGAGTGAAAGAGTGAGTGAGCGATAAGAGTTTGCGAGAGCCAGAGAGCTAGAGAGTGGGGGAATGAATCAAGCTTGCTGGATCGTCGAACCAAGTCGAGCAGCTTGAGACACTCTGCTGCGCTGGGTCGACCCACTTCCCTCGAGGCACCGTCACAGCACCACTGGAAACTCCCGCAACACCATGCTGAAGTGCTGCTCGGCCTGAAACTCAGTAGCCTTTGGCATAGGTCTTTTGCAGAAGCGCTGCATCCTTAGCTTGGACGCTATCGCCAGGCATTCACGCAAGATGATAGAGGGGTTGCATACAGAGACGGCTGCTCTTTTTCAAATGATCGGCCGTCGCCCGATACAAACCGAGCTCCGTGTCGCGTTAAAGCCTAGCACTATACCACGTAGATACTGCCCTGTTCCCAGGCATGTAGACCCAACCCAAAAATCTAAGTCAGAAGAACGCCGCGCATGGTGTGCTGTACCCTGCACTGTCAGCAGATAAAAAATCACTGTCAGTCAGCCCTTTTGTGTTCAACCAATCAGCTACAGGCTTTCTCATGAGACCTGGTTAACGCACCGACTTTGACGCAGGGGGGGGGGGGGGGGGGGGGGGGGGGGAAAGGGTTCGGTTTTTGATCGAGAGGTTCCCGTTCGGGTTCTGGGGCCGGCCGCTCCACTTGCTGACATGTGGCAGGTCCTAAAGGCTGGGTTCGCTTCAGGCCGTGTCTGCAGGGATTTGCATGTCGCGGTGTTGCAAAACACAAACGTCACTCTCGCCTCGGATTTTTGCGCATTCTCCTCATCAACTGGCTTTTTGGAGTGGTCTTGGAGCTGTCCTGGAGTGCTGTTAGAGTGGCCTTGGAGTGTCATCTTGGAGTGCTCTTGCACCGGAGTGTCTTGCCGTCTTTGGGGTCTATGCTGTTCGGGTTCAGTTCCCCGAACCCTAAAGTTTCGGGTTTCGGTTTCAGGCTTTGCGGGGGGGGGGGGGGGGGGGGGGGGGGGGGGAGGTTACAGTTCGGGTTCAGGTTCTGGCTTACCCCTGTTATCCCCGTTGTTGTATGTTCAGTGGCAGGGAGGTTCGGGTCCGTGCTCGGGTTCAAAGACGGGTGCTCCACGGGGGGATTCGCGCTCAGGTTCGGGCCAACCTCTTCTGGTTTTTAGCGGTGGGGGAGAGGGGAGGAGGTTCGGGATGGCGTTCGAAATGCGAGTGATCCATCAATCCCAACGAGAGGTTCGCAATGCTCAAAATAGCACATCAAATGATGAAAGGTACAGATTCTGAACAGGATTTCTACAGCCTCTGCGCTCTGTGATCTCCTGCTACGACACACGACACTCAGCTACAACCATCAAACATGGTTGAACGGGTGAACGGTCATAAGAGTACATGGCCTGCTGGTCGAGGCCGAGAGGACTAAGGCATCTTTCTGTTTCGTGTTCGCGTTTTGGCCAGATTTTGGGGCAGGCGCCCTTGCAAGCCGGGTAAGCCGCCTACAGATTGGGGGAGGGTTGAAGGGTGATTGAATCTCCTTGAAAGCCCACCTCTTCGGAGACCAATCCCCACAAGATCCTTCGGACGCCCGAGGTTGGTGTGGCAGCACCGGGTTTTGAGGAACATGCCTGTACACAGATACGCTTGCGATGGTGCCTCCAAACTGAGGATGTTGTGGACCTCTGGCAGCTCTGTGGGCCGTAGAAAGGCTTCTGTATGGCTGTGGCACGTAAGCAGCTGCTGTCATTGGCTTTGATGGCGTGAAGCGAGGGAAGTGAGCTGAAGCGTCAGCACCATGCGCAGAAACCATAACTGTTTCGAAGTGGAGTATTCTGTTCAGCACTTTACTGAAATGCGATGCATGAATTTCTTATGCGTCTGATTGTTCTTGAACATCAATACTTGTTTCAATATCTGTGTAACACAGCACTTCCTAAGTACCCCTTTCTACTCCACGCTGCTTCACAGTACTGCGGTTTATGTGCTCTGGGCCCGTGCGGACTCTGCAGTGTCCGACACACACCGATACGCACATACGACTACGTATATGAGGGCAGGTACACGTTCTCATGCATTTCGATCAAATTGAACCAAACTGTTTTAAAGGTACCAGCAAAGATGGTACCTACCTTCCTATATGGCGGCAGATGAACCTGCCTTCGTGCACTGCATGATATTGCATGCTGAGGGCGTGTCGGAGACGCTCCCACTTCGGACCCTGCTTGTGCAACTGGATCCAGGCATCCTGTACATTGCATCACACTACACATATACTGTGGAGAGGAAGACTTCAAGCCTGATGCATCTCGGCATCGGCCATACTCCCAGATAGATGGAATGGCAAGGAATTTGCGAACATCTCGAACATGACGCATCCCATGCTCCATCTCGGCAGGGCTCGGGTTGGCTACTTCAATGTGTTGCTTCAGGATTTCAGCTGCAAGGTTGTGCCATCTCATCAACCCATGAGGCGCATGCATGTCAGACTTCGCACTGACATTGCCCAGCAAACACTCTGGAGACATAGTCGCCGGAGTTCCCGCAACCCTCAGTATGCGCAAAGGTTGCATCTGCAAACCAGCATGCGGCTTAGGAATATTGGCATACCTCGATGGCCCTGGCCGGCAAAAAAGCTGAACCTTGCCCTGAGTGAAGTGCTTTAAGTTTCAGACAGGTAAGAACTGCACGGCTTAATTTGCCGGGGAGGTGCACTCTGCGCTAAACAAAGCTGGAAAGTCAGAGCACAAGGGAATGACATGACATCAAGATCGTTTCGCCCAGGAGCTTTGAGCCACGCGCAACAAACGGGCTCGACAGCCCTCGCACACAAATTTCGGCAGTGCCGAAGTCGCAAACTACAACCTGAGCTTTACTCATGGTATGATTGGACTGCTCAATGGTTGAGCGCGTGCTTCAAACTCCAGGCAGCATGTGGAAGCCGACAAAAAGCATTGCCATCATCGGCTACCTCGGTCAAGCTATGACGTGGCTCAACTGCTGCAAGTGTCTCGAGCAGTTGCATAGGAGACGCGAAAATGCTTCAGAGGGACAATACTCCGCAACAATAGAAGATTCTCGACTTTTAGATCTTTGTGTACAATGCCCTTGTTGTGCAGGTACACAAGCGCCTGCCAGGGACATGATTCCATTACAAGGTGAAGCTTGGACAGGTAAGAAACATGGAAGGCACGGACAACAAAATCAGGAGCCTGAAAAGGTTGGCGAAGTGCACGCGCAGCCCACGACTCCTGTTCACAACTTGCCACAGAGCAGGATGCAAGGCACGTGACGGCATACATAGTATTCAGAGCACATGTCCTCCAGGACAGCGCCCCTCGCTCTGCCCTTGCGGATGGCGCTTAAAAGCTCGCCGCCCTCGCAGAATTGGCAAATCAGCGTCGCCTAGCAGACATGTGACATGCCAACGAATACTCAGACACTAGATTTGTTTGCTGGATTTGCTGGACTTTTTGACCACCGGCCAATAGCCTGATCGCCGTTCTCGAACCACTCAAACAATCGGAGAATATGCCTGGGCACAGTACATTGCCAGCGCAGCTCCACTCTAACGGATGAGATTTCAAGACAGGGCACGGATGATCCGAATTCTGCATAACCAATCCTCCACAAGTGCTTTACATAAGTCCAGCAGCAAGAAAGCAAGCACGGCAAGCATATCAAGCACATATCACCAGCCCTGCAGGGCAAGCCGACTTCTGAGACAAAGCAGAGCTGCTCTTCAACTGCGCTTGATTCACATAACCTTCTTTCCCGAAACTGTGCACAATGGCCATGCACTGATCGAGGAATAGCTGTTCGCCAGCCGTTGCTGCCTCTTTCACGTGTTTTTCTCGCCGCGGCCCGTCTCTCAGATACAGGATTGAGACATTGTTGGGTTTGCTGGGTTACTTCTTTTTGTGAGGTGTGCATAGGCTGGTCCAGAGTAGTCATCAGTTTGCCAAAGCGCTTCAGGTCTTTTATCACGGTCGTTGGTGACCATGCATGCAGAAAATTTACCAGCAGGAACACAAAGATGCCCAAGATCCCATGTAGTGTCTTTAGGCCAGACGTGCACCAAAGGCGACGACAGTTTCGCAGTTGGCGAGCACGGATTCTCCAAAAGAGACGACAGTTTCGCATTTCGCTAGCATGTCCAAAAGCGTCTTAGAAGACGCCGGAGCTCGGCCATGCCCGCACCTGGGAGCGCGAGCTTCGTTCAAAAAGAGACCGGGTTTCGAGATAAAACCAGGGTCCGCTGTGCGCATGCGCACCACATGCACCACCCAGGCGGGGCTGCGTGCCTACATCGACCTAGCCCCTCATAGCCTACACGATGGAACCCCTTAGCGTTGACACTTTCTGGGGACTAGCAACAAAAGCTATAACGAAAGTACCAACAGCAGCAATAGTAAGAATGATGGTAGCAATGATAATCGTAAAAGAAATACAGTAATAGTTTCAATACTCGCGATAATCGTATGAGTAGTACTGCGAGTATTCGAAGAGCAGGAATCATTGTGAGAATTGTAACAGTAGCATTAGAAGGAACCGTAGTACGAGTAGCCATGGTAGTTATGATAGCCATAGTAGTAAGATTAACAAATAGTAATAGCTGCGGTCCTTTTGGAAGGCGTTCTCCATCATTGTTGCTTTGCCCGTTTGGGTGTACTTGCACAAAGTCATTTTTGTGGATGCCAGTATCATCCTACAACAAGCCCAATCTGATAGCCTGCACACAATGAAAGGATCATGAAAACAAGGAGTTGTTGGATTTCCAGGGTTCCGGAAACCTTAAAAAACCTCCAAGCATTCCAGGGTACGGGAAATCACTTTCATGCCGGGCAACCAGGTCAATTGCCCCTGCTAATGAATCTACTTCCTGCGATGATGCCATGCTCGCTCCCTCTACTGCATATGAAAAGCAGAAGGACCAATGCCTTCCATGCGGAATCGTTCGCGTCCCCATCCCTCAGGCCTGCGGGAGGAGGATCTCACAAGTAGCTGCGTGCTCTGCCGTGCTCTGCCATGCTCTGCCATGCTCTGCCATGCTCTGCCATGCTCTGCCATGCTCTGCCATGCTCTGCCATGCTCTGCCAGCCTGGTAATGGATTTGGAGGCCTCTGGGACACAGCGAAACATGAGAAATCGCAAGGCCGATCCTGGAATGAAGACACTCCGCCGACCCCGGGAACAAAGCTCCCCGACCCAACCCTACCCCCTCCCCCCTAGCCCCCTCCCCCCTACCCCCCCCACCCCCTACACTCCCAGTTTGTCGTTTCCCTCCCTCTTCCAGCCCGTCTTGACGCCCCCCCCCCCCTTCCGTGTGCTACGCCTGCTGCCTGCTGCCTGTTTGCTTGCCCTGCTGCTCGGTGCTAGGCATTAGATTTTTTGAGAAGCCTTGACTGAAAAAATCCTCTTTGGACGATGAATCGCCACTTTAATAGCTCGGTGCTGGGCCCTCTTCTGCTGCGTCGACTTCTCGTAAACGAGATAAACTGACCCATATGAGCCTCACGAAATGGGACTGGTTGAGAGCTCCTGCACGCCCCTAAAAAGCACCGGTCAAGCAGTGACAAACTGCCACACGGCCTTGTCCGAGTAATTGACGAGTGTCATACTTTCTCTCGACCTCGTAGTGACCTCACACGTTTCAAAGCCAAACCTTCAGGTTGTGCAAGCTATGCGCTAACCAAGTCAAGATGCTCAGCTCATGCACCAGCTGACTGCGAAAGTTTTGAGGAACTTCTCCGACATGCTCGCGACCTTGCGCTGGCGTTGGTAGCCGGAAAGAGCTCCTTGCAAAAACATGTGCAGCGACTTGCACATCCGGACACTGCAAGCACGTCCTCCGAAACCAGGGCATGCTCGGTCATTCAAAGGCCTGCAGTGTCTCGGCATCCCTTAAGCCACTGAACACCGGCCTGAAAGCTAGAAAACTCTTGGCTCGCCTGTTCCTTTGAGCGGGACATTGCCCTCCGGTCCGCACCGGGATGGTGAAACGGCCCTTAGGGCCATGGATGCTTCTCGCTGAGCCACAAATCCGTAATTGCCTTCCTCCTTACCATGAGTGGAGTGCTAAACTCTGCCAAAAAAAACAGACCGTGCGTGCATGTCGGCAACGTATGGCTTTCTGCTCACGGCCATGCTTTATTCTCGCACCGCGCTCGCATGCCAAAGCCGATGTTTGTCTGGCCTGCTTGCTGGAAAAACCGTGTGATATTCACACTGCCATGACAGTGGGCGAGCACGTTTCGCTACAAGCCCAACTGTGAAACAGCATGCAGGTGGCCGGTGGCATGCGGACTTGTGAGGCATGTGCAGAACCATTCACAGAAACGTCAACCGCACTATGATGCAATGCCCAACTTGCGCTCCAGCTGACTCCTGCGCTGCAGAGAAGCGTGAAGTGTAAGACGGTGCAAGCACTTCATACTTTGCAATTTGGGCCTCGCCTTTTGTGGTCGTCCATGGAGCGCTTCTGTCGATCGAGATGCTCAGCTTTGATGATATCCACGTTGTCTCCCTGTGCCAGGCAATGCTCAAAGAAGTTACAAAGATTGTTGGCGCTCAAAGGACACTCGTGGGATCTCCAGGGAGGCCAGGTGACAAGGGCGATGAGAAACTGACAGAGAACTGACATAAAAACCAACACCGTTTGTGACTGGCCAGGAGGAGTGGGGCACTTTAAGCCCAGACTGTTTCGGACCACGGCTTGAGTTGCGAGTGTTTGGGGTGCGTGCAGCTTCTCAGCATCCAAAAGCAAGGGCGTTGAAAACAAACCACCGACCTCCGCAAGAACGGGGGCTCTCCCTAGCTGGACCCTCGGACTACTAAACGTTGCCTGTGCCTATGCCAACCACCTGCTTACCTCACCGACCACATTGCAGGGCGAAGAAATGGTGTGAAGCAGATGAAGAGAAGCTGCACCGGCACACAGCCCGTGGACGAAAACACAGGCAAGCTGCAAGCTTGCCAGGATCGCTAAGTATGCCACGTGTGCTGAGACCATATAGTGAACTTTGACCAACAGCGTCGTCAAGCGATCCAGGCCTCCACCCTTCAGGTAAGCTATTGTTGCGGAAATGAGCGAGGCTCTCAAGAGAGGAGGAGCTTTTTTGAGTTATCAGACCTGTTTTGGCCCGGAGCTCCTATGCCCCAGGCTAGCTTTCGTACCCCTCGCTGTTCGGGGAGAAATGTTCGCGAAGGAGGCGAAACGAAGTAGCACTCGTGGTTTACCGCCCCGCCCTGTTGGACGTCGCGCCCCGCTGTTTCACACGTCGTGGAAGACTCTTGAGTTGCATTGTCGCATGGAAGGAGAGGCCTTTGTCAATGGCAAACTGCCAGGACAAGAGCACACAAAACACAAGGCTGGTCATGGACATAGTCTCCTTGGGTGAGCTTGAGGCAGGACGCGGCAACACCCTCCAAGCCCTGGACTCGAGCTGGAGGCGGTCTCAGCGTGTCCAGATTCGGCGGCGGCTCGTTGTGCAATATCCAATGCCAAAGCGCCTCTGACAACTTCTCGAACATCCAGAGCACCGAAAGCAACCAGCCCAAACACAGATGTGCAGTCCTCACTTTGCATCAGAACCTGAGCAGCAGCTAGCAGCTTACGCGTGCCACCTTCTGAAGCAGAGTCACAGTAGTAAAGCGACAAAGGGAGTGCTGAGGTTCTAGTGAACCTCTGGCCTGCGTACGCTGCTGCATTCGCAAGGTCTTGGACTCGCCCTGTTTCGCCTGGTCTGGAATCCACGCCCGCATGTCCAACATGTGCGGCACCCCCTCCAAGCCTCCGCCAAGCACAGCTTGGACAAGCCGAAGGTCGTCACACTCAGGTACTCCAACTGCCGGTGTATGGTGTCCTGCAAGGTGAAGGAGAATATCGATACTACAATCAATCGTGTGTGTGTGTGTGCATATACAAAGTAAAGTTCAAGTTCATAAAAAGCCCTTGCACAAAAGTTCAGTTGCAGGCTTCGGAAAGGCTTAGCAGCCTTTGCTGTCCTGGAGCTTGGCCAGCTCGTCTGCATCAATTCGATTTGCCTAGCGGGCGGGACATGGAAGGACTGCAAAAGCTTGGAATATTTGGAATGCTGAGACACAGCCTTAAGCTGATACATCTCGACGAGGTCAGCCTGCCAAAGCGCAGCTTCCGAGGGACGCCGTTGAATATCTGAGGGCACTTTATTTGCTGTCGCACATTCTGGCACCTTGTCGGCCTTGAGGGCTACTTTCTGGTTCAAGTCCTGTTGGGGGGACATGCCGCCCAGCTGGCTCAACATGGCAAGCGCTTCCCCGTCCTCAAACATGGGACCATAGTCTGGGGGCCGGAATTCATCAAGCCGCTTGCTTTCTTGCTCAATGTACTCCTCAAACCTGCGAGATACGCAAGACCCTCAAGCACAAATGCTTCGAGGCATGTCATAGCTGCGGCAGGTGGCCTCTTGTTGAATCTATCCAGCTTGTCGTACATCCCATGAAACTCTTTCATAGCAGCTTCCTGCCGTGAAGGAAAGGGTATAGGTGGCTTCTGGCCAGCAATACGGTTCATCCAGCCTTTTGGAGACACTGCTCGATTCGCGAGTTGATGATGACGATGTCGTACTTGCCTGCCTGACTCTCGCAAGCTCGGCGGCTCTCATGTTGACATCTACAAAATGGCCTTGTCCAGAAGAACCTCATCCACACGCTGGATAGCATCATCCTGCAGACTAGGAGATGTGGAAACATCGTGCAGATGACGTGTGACGTGTTCAGATTGCTGACAAGCACGAGGCATGCGTCCTGGGCCCTGAGTCGCTGATCAAAAGCCTCAATGGAAGCCACGCAGAACTTCAGCTTGGGCACACAATCCTGTGAGCACACAGCAAGGCACACGACAAGTCGCAACACATGACGGTGACGACTCATGACGAGACGAATATCCGTGGAAGTCCTGTTGAAACGCATCCGTCTCTGCTCTAAGCGCATACTTCCTGTCGTCCCGTGCTCGGTTTCGCATAGTTTGCACTCATGATACATATGAGCTGCATATGCACACCAACTCTCTTTCACATTCTCAGCGTGCAGCTTGAGACTGTGCTTCGTCTCTTGCAGGTCATCATACATGGCCTTAAGGACGAAGGATGTAACTGCAACATCTGAAATGGCCAACACAGCACTGGTAAGGAAAAATGAGAGCTCGGCCCGCTGTTGAAGATCATTGGCTAATTCCGAGTACATGGACGTGATGCGGTCAGACAGGCCTCAAATCGTTCTCCGGGCAACTTCATTCAAGTTCAGCATAGCTCAACATAGTTCAGCATAGTTCAGCATAGTTCAACATAGTTCTACATAGTTCAACATAGTTCAACATTCAACTGCAACCTGCCTCGCAGCTGATCATTGTTGGACGCATAAACCTGATCAAACCTTGGAAGCAGAGAAATTAGAATGGACGATGTTGCAGATCTGTATGCCCTGCAGGCACAGAAGACTGGCTGCCCTGCACTGATGACTGCTCTTTGATGTGGACCGCCAGCTCTTCTATCTGCAGAACGTGTCTACCATTAGTCAGGAGATTGTCATGCTTTACACGTGACACATTGCGTGGCGCACCCGCATCGTCGTCTGAGCAACTTTGGCGTAGTTTTGAAGCTCGTCGCCAACCCAGTCACGCACTTCCTCATCCAGGTGGGTGCGTAGGGCTGCTTCCCACCGAGGCAAGCAGGCAACCGATTCCTGTAGCTGCTGCTCCAGCTTTGCTGTCCGCGTATAATCATCAAAGCGTGTGGAGAGAACCTCGGAAAGTGCAGTGCACCCAACGTCTCACCGAACGTCTCAACTCAGGTCGTCTTTGGGAGTTTTACAAGCCGAGCTCCTTGCTTTCATGTTCTCAGCTATGCGCTCCGCGACGTCGAGGGTGGCATAGTCACTGGAACAGTTCAGGCTGCTAAAATGATGCACTCCCTGAACGTTCAGCAGGGTTACCACCTTTCCCTCGCAACATGCCTCAATGCGCTGAGGATTTGCTGGTGCTCCAACTTTGTAGTGTAGCCAGCGAACTTTGCCTCCGCAGGAGTCTGCACTGTCTCATGGTGCGCTTCTTCTTTTAGCCCCATTGCGGGGTATTGGCCAAAAGGAAGCCGCGCCCAAATGCAACAGACTCCGTGGCGCCAGTGACACGCTATTTGCCTGATAGATTTGGGACGGACACAGCGATGCATTTCGCACGTGTTTAGTCTTTCAGTCGGGAGCCTAAGGGAGGAACCTGTGAGGAGGCGGCTGCCAGAGTACCGATAGCTTCGCAGGTTTAGGTGCCCCAACCCTCGGCCGCCTCCCCACCCTTGGCACAACTCAAATCCCCTCACCCCTCGCACAACTCAATCCCCCACATATCGGGCGCAATTGTCCAATCGTGACGCGTTTGGATATTGTGTCCCTGCAGACTTCAGAAATTTCAAAGCACAGACAAAAAGGCTTGGCAAAGCCCCTCCTGTTGTGGCACGTCTTCGACCCCGAAACGTCACCCAGAAACCGGCACACGTTCATCATCAGAAGTTGCCCCCCCCCCCCCCCCCCCCCCCCCCCCCCCCCCCCCCCCCCCCCCCCCCCCACCCCTGCCAAACCCACCCCCCCCCTCCCCCCCCGCCCCGCCCAGCCGGTGTGATTGCTGTTCTTTCTTTTTTGGGGGTTGGGTTCCTGACTTTAGCTCTGTCGGATACTTGTAGCTTTTTCTCGTGGCAGTTTGCCTGCTCTCTTTAGAACATGCATTGGTTGCTCTGCGGTAGCTCCTGTCTTTTTCTTGCGGGGGTGAACTTGGTGAACTGGGTCTTTTCTTGCCTGTGCTCCTTTGCCAATGTGTTCGTCAGGGTGTCGGATTTGAAACGGGGCACCCAACAACTTCTTTCAGGATTTCAATCTTTGGCTTTCGACCTTTCAGGGTTTACGGTTTCAGGTTCGGAATAAGGCTTTGACAGCTGCTTTATGCCCCACAGTGGGAACATTGTGCCCAGACCACCAGAACCGGACTCTTGACTTCAAATTTCTAGGCATGCAGTTACGGTGATACCAACCTTGCGGGGAGACATCAGTGTCTGCACGTCAATGCGCCTCAAACATGTTCAGCTCGGCCAAGGACACTTTGTCCAGAAGGGCATCTTGTGTCTCACGGATCAGGCGGTCTTGCACAGCCTTCTCCTGCGGCTACACAGCACGGCACACAAGAACTGAAGCATGTCATGTCCATTGAGTCCATTGCATAGACATCTTTCTTCCGGTCCTTGATGACAGTGTCGAGCTTCTTCTCTAATTGAGTCTGGCTGCCCTTTGCAGGACGCGGACTCGAATACAGTTGACAAAAAAGATGTGACGTGTCACATGTTGGATGCCTTAAGTCTGTCTATCGCTTCCTCGGAGGAGGCGACATTCTCCTGGCCATAGTCCGGTGTTTACGCAATGCCACGCACAGGCCTTTCTCGCAGCGTTTTGAGGCCCACCTTTGTAAGATAAAGGGCTTCTTGCTGCTGCTCAATACGTTGATTGAGCTCTGTCACCACCTGGCGCTTGGCGCTTTCCCGACATCCTCCTCTCCGCTCTGTCACATGTGAAATCGACTCTTGCCAAGTTTCCGAGCCTCATCCAAGCCAGTGATTGTTGCACGCAACTGGCACAACAGGAACAAGAAAGTAAGCCCGGAATGGATAGAAATGATAGAATTGCAAACTCTCTGACTGCTTCGTAGCAAGCTCCAAGCCTCTATTTCTCCTTTGAGGCTTTTGATTGTAGCATCGTTGCTTTCGTTGTATGCCCTGAGGCGGAGCTTTTGATACAGTTCGATCATTCAACGGCTTTTGCGCTCTTGAAGACTGAGGCAGACGCTCCAAGGACTTAAACTTCCGAATGATGTGCCTCGCTTTTCGAAGCGTTTCATGAACCACGGCCAGAACCCCCATGGCTATCCGAGCGGGCACAAGGCAGCCTAGGTAGCCCCACTTGACGACATGTTCCAGATTGGAGAAGGAAATGAGCGAGCCGAGCTCCTCAAGGTCATCCTGAACAAGTTAGGTACAGTTAGGTGCAGTGGCCACAACGGTTTATGTCATCTATGTCCAAGATTGATGCGGAACATTTCGCACGAACTTGTGCGTGTGCCCTAGATGCTGCCTGCCAGAAGGATTATGAAGCCTCAAGGCGAAAGACGGCTTGACACGGACTTGATGTGGGCTTCTCATGACCACGACAGTCGGACTGGCTTTCAGTAAAAAGCCTGAGAGAGAGAGAGAAAAAAACACAGTCAACCGACGAAAGCTAGAAGGAGTACCTGCAAGAATGTATGCGAGCATGTATCTGTGTGCTTATGCGAGCGTGCATGTGTGCAGGCTCGCTTCAGCGCTTCAGTCGAAAAAAGCTCGCATGGATAAGAGCGTGCTGGGAAGCGTGGAAGCGTGACGTGTACAGCAAAGCATGTAGGTAAGCATGGTATGATTGCGTGCTAGGAAGCACGTGCAGGCAAGAAAGCGCAGGCAAGCATGTAATCGAACATGCAAGCAAATGCACTTACAGATACGCGAGCATGCAAGGATGCATCTTGACACTTGTGCATCAATCTTCACCCCACCTGCTCCCCTCCCCTGCTATTCCGCTCCATGAGCGTGTGTCTCGACACAGGCACATCTTGCAAACCTCCCGCGGAACAGATATGGAATGCGTTTATCCTTCAGGCCCCCGCGGGCACGGCACGATCTTTGAAGTTGGCCATCATCTGGGCCCCGGTTTCCTGTGAACCTTTGAGATCGGTTGCCTGTCCCGACCCCTCGCCCCCCAAACTACACATTGGCTGAAAGTTTCAATTCTGCACCCGCCCTCCCTGTTGAATGTCAATATGCCTGGTTTCCAGGAATCATCTGACGACACCGCTGAAGCAAAACTCAACAGCTAGGAAAAACCTGAGACAAGATCCCGGAGACACTACAAACCCTGGTACCATTGTGGGACTGGTTCGCATGGTGCAATCGCGAAAAACAGACTCGGCTCCTCCGTCTCAGCAGGTTCATCTTCATCCAGGTACCCTGCACTCAATTGCAGATCCACATCTTGCTCTCAACCGGTATCCCAGGAATATCTGCTTTCGCAGAACAGCAACACACGCGAATCTAAACTGTCGGCCTAGATCTGCCATCAAGGCCCACTTTGGCGGCTGTGACAGAACAACCAAGGACGCTTGCAAAAGGTCTGCTTGTTGCTTGCATTGTAATGATGATGATGGCAGCATGGCGCTTTTTCCCTCCTTGTATGACACAACTGGTAAGGCAAAACTTGAAAAAGCATGACCGATTTTTTGTTGACGTTGTAGAAAATGAAGGCACACGCTGCAGCAGAGCAGGAGGCCAATCACTCGCTGCGTCAATGCATCCCATCGACTTCAGAAAGCTCACAGATCTCACAGCGGCGACCGGATTCACATGTTTTTGCCACACGGCCTCCAACAGCATTGCAAAGGTTGCTAGGAGTCGTTGACCGAGGCAGTTTGTGCAACCTTACATGACCGCTCTAAATCAGGATCATTCACATGAGCAACTAATGGTTTAGTGACCTTCCATGACCGTATCGAACCGGAGAAATGCTTTCAGTGACAATGGAGACGGTGAGAAGGCCAAGAAGATCGTCAGAACCTTGGGATGCTTGGTGACAACATTGACTGTGCTGGGGCCGACGACTACCAGTAGCTAATGATTTGCTTGCAAGGTCATAGGAGATTCTGTCCACCAAGTCACTGAAGTCCACCACTCCGAGCGGCCTCTGCAACTGCCTTCAACAAAAGGTTGAAGTGCAGTTCTTGATCTTCTCAGGCCTGTGCCGTCCGACCGTGCCTTGACACGTCCCTCGTAGGGAAAGCCGGCGCGGTCGAACACAACCATGGTGATGCCCTTGTCCAAGCCTCACAACTTTGCAGATTTGACGAGGCAGAAGGTCTCTCCAGCGCAAGACCCAGCAAGTCCTAGAATGCTGTTGCCTGTGCCAAGTACTGAAGAAACATTAGGGTAACCGGTGAACCTACACTGCGCTAATGGAGCTACCATGCCATCTTTTCTAAGAAATCGTCTGATCCCAATGTGTAACATACAAGTATGATTAAAGATGTCTGCGTAGGTACCACAGCGTGGAAGAATTGAGGGGGAGCAATGTTCTTGGCGGTGCTCTCCAGATGGATAAGGATGTGGATCGCTATCATCGCATTTTATTACGAACCATCTGCCACATCCTCTGTGGGCCGGGCATTGCTTTGCAACTTCTGCTCCTCTCCAAAGCTTGCAGTGAGGCAGCGCGGTTTTCTAAGGATCCGCAATCATCACAGCCGCATCATGGATAAGGTCCCACAATCTCTGCAGCTTCAACCGACCAGGTCTTCTCTTTTCCAGCTTCGCAGCCTGGCAGACTCCATGACCGACACTGCATCACAAAAAAGTTGTCGGGATGAGCCTTGCTTGGCACGGATCTGCTCCAATGAGCCGGTTTGCTTTGAAGTCACCTTGCACGTGACTTGTGCCAGGGTGTCACAAAGCTTAGCTTGGCACAAGGACCTGGATCAGTGTGACTCCAGTACCAATCGTGTCATCGATGACACTGGCATGCCTCACAAAGGTTGACATACAAATCACCTAACCCCGGTCCCTCAAGCTGAAGGTACTTGAACAAGCGAACATCCCCGGGCAGAGGACATGTGCGTCTGAGATCGGAAGACGGCAAGTCTTGGCCGGGCAGAATTGCCCTCGACCTGTGACACGGAACGATGAGGCACGCAACTCTGTAAATTGCCACGCAGCCCATGGCACTGACATGACGGGCGAATTCAGAGACACTTCCTGGAGACTCATGGAAACTCTGGTCTAACTGCTTCATGGTACTTTGATGACAGGCTATCGGCGCACACCTTGCGACGAATGTGGATGCGTCTTTTGTACCGGTGGCACCTAAGCAGCACTTGTGTAGCCTATGTTCGCCCCTTCTGAGACTGCCTCAAGTGCAATGGAACATGAAACTTGGGCTTCAGCCATCGAATTTTCTCTGTCCATGTGTGCGGGGAGCCATTCCAGCCAGGACCACCTCACACAGCATCATAGGTCCAGGAGCGAGATTTCACACTGCAGAATGCTGCGTTCTGGTAGCCGTTCTATCCGTTCTGCTATACCAGCAACCCTGCGACCCTTTGTGCCTTTGATACGATATCCGAGTCGTTCATGGCTCCAATCCGTCGGCTTGTTCGGCTTCCGCCCTCAAGAGTTTCTGAGCAACTGACTACAGTAGACATCAGTAGACTCTCCGTAGGCTCAACTCCCAAGCTCCTGGCATCCCCACTTTGCTGCGCAAGCAACTCTGGACACGACCACTGGCAAGGTCAGCGCCGCACCTCTGAAAAGCTGAAATAAACACGGCTGTACACATGCCTGGAAATCACCAGTGTAGGTTGCGAGCACAAGCCGAAGAAGCCAAAGCCACCTCTGGCCTAAGACACGGATCACGCGCAGCTTCACCATAGTATGCGTTTACTGCGAACTGGGGCACGCGAGATTCTTTGAATGCCTCTCCAGAGCGAGTGAGATAGACATTCGATATGGTAGCTCATGTCAGCTCGCAGTGTGCGGCTGAGCCAATTCAGTGAGGCAAATCAGGCCTGCTTGATCGCAACCTGCTGGACTGGCCGAAGCACAGCCGGCCTGTTCGCCACAGACCTCGGCACGGCACGGCGCCTCTTCAGGCCTACAAAACCTACAGAAGCTGTCCTATAACCTGTACGACTACAGTTTCATTCAGGAGCAGACCGCACAGACGAATGTGAGGTCGGAGTAATGAAAGCAGGACTTGGCTGCACGATGATGGCTGGCGTCCAACAACATGCCGCACTACCAAACCAAGTCTGTGGCCATACTTGATGACCTCAGAGAGGAGGAAATATGTTTGCAGCAGTTGAAACACTGCGGCTGTCGTCTTCGCAGTGATAGCAGAAACCTAGGCCAGCTCCAACACATCTAGCTGCCAGCAGCACGCTGGCCGCGGCACCGGCCTCACATCCACACCACGTGTTTTTTCAGTTTTCAATGAGCTGGTCGTGAGGGTCCGGGCAAGGACCAGCGCCAAACGGGCCTGAGTATGCTTCGCTGGACAAAATTGGTCTCTGAGATGCCGTTTCTGAGGAAACGGCCATTTCTAACCCACCTAACTCAAAAGGAAAGGAGGGACAGGTGCCCCAGTGGACCTGGAGCCTGAAAACATGGCGCGAACCCCCCGATAAATACAAAAATGGAAAAATGATCACCAGAGTCATGATAAACAAACACAGCTAACAAAGCTCCTACAATCCAAGATGCGAAGCAAGAGCGACTTTTGGTTTCTCCGATGGCACATTAGCTGCGAGCCCTTCTTGGGCACGTGGGACCTAAGTGGACCTAAGGGGACCTACAGGCGCTCACTGGAAGTGCGCTGGAGCTGAAAACGATTGAAGTCCTGCACGAGGCAACACATTGCAACACTCCATGTTTTAAACTGGTGCTCGCCGAACCCCTTTGTTAACCGGTGCGGGACTGGAAAAGGCCCGAGCTAAACCTGCTGCTGCAATGTTTTGGGAAGCTGCCTAGGAGCTGCGGAGCGGAGTACACTCGACGCATCGCAACCTCAGATGAAGCCATCCTGAGAAGCCACTCTTCAGTCAGACACAGAAACCGAGGCTCGGTCGGCGTTGTCTGAGTAGCGGACGGAAGTTGTACAAGCTATGCCCGGCATCATTTGGGTGGCCTTGCGAGCTGGGTCTGGACATCGCTTGGTTTGGGCTCCGTGGATCGGGCCTCTTGGCCAAGGTGTCCGGCCGAGGCGCTCATCGGGGGAGAGCCCTGAACTGCACAAAAAGAACGAGGTTCCACGGTCTCTGACACAATCACACGACCGGCCCTCGTCGCAGGCGCTGGCCTCCCAGGCCAGATGACCCGAGATGCCCAAAGCAGATGCCCAAAGCAGATGCCCAAAGCAGATGCCCAAAGCAATGCCCCGAGCCACAGCTGAGTCACAGCCGAGGCTGTGGCACGACCAGCAGTGGAACATACTGCTGCGCAGGTAGAACATGTCCTCAACAATTGCCAAGGCGGCCGGGGAGCGCACTCCAGGCTACTCTGCACGTCCTCGTTGGTTTTGAAGTGTGTGAGTCACTGGCGGTGCTGGTGGGCCCTGCCGTCCATAACCGAACTTCGCACTCGGCAGACTGACATGATCTTCGCACTCGGCAGACTGACATGGACATCTTCCTGCACTTTATATGCCCATCGACCGAACTAGTAGGAATATCAATCTTGCCCTGATGTTCTACACATTCACAGTTCCAGCCTGCAAGCAGCCTTGAACGACAGGGATAAACCTCCCTGCGCCTGCAATTGCAGCAAGTGGCTAATGCACAAGCCAGGTCAGCAGCAGGGCATAATAGGACCACAAGACAGCAAGTGTAGTCCAACCGGTTCACCTAGTGCTGAAGATTCTTGGCATAAGCACTCAGGTCTGGGATATGTTCAAACTCGAAGAGCGATAGCAGAAGTGGCGCTCCTTTGTCGAAATGCGAGCATCAGCGACTCCAGCTCATTCACCTACTCTGACAGAGCAGTTTGGGCGTTTGCCGAATGATGACCAACGCTGGAGATTTTCCAAGCGCTCTCGCGGGATAGGTGTCCTTCGCTTTGAGCACCGTCATCAGAACTAGCATGCTGAAGAGCTGGTTCACGGATCTTGTGTCATCCTTGAGGCCTGTATCCACCACTCCCCATCTGGGATGGTTTCGAAAGTGTCCACCGACAAAATGTGCAGAACCAAGGCATCGCAGCAGCTTGTGCGATTCAGCCTTGAGCCAGGAGCTTGTTCAGGGCCTCTTCCGTCTTCTCAGCATCTAGGCCTGTGTTGTCTGACGTGTGAACAAAGTTGTGCGATCTGAGGCGCGGGTTCATCCTCAGTAGGTCCATGTCATCGATCGCTATCCATGCGTGAACATGCTGAGACTTCGCAGCGTGCATCTCGAGCCACAGAAAAATTTCGTCAACTCGATCGCCCTTCGCAACCTTCTCTAGGTCCGGTGTAGAACCATTCACCGACAGGCCGTACTGCAGAAACAAGTTCTCCAGCTGATGTCTCTTGTGATCCACCAGGCGCCAAGTGGAGGACAAGATGATCTTGGACTGAGTGTTGTCAACAAGAAACTTGAGATGCTCCATGATTTCCGGTGGTGGTGCATCACTGCTGGCGGCTTCTCTGGATGCACGGCTGTTGAGCACACCATCCACATCCAAGAAAATCACACGTGTTTGGCCCGTCAGTGCCGCTGTGGCTGCTGAGATTAGGTCCTCTTCTTCCTCAAGAGAGGAGCTCTTTGCGTGCGCACCATCTGCACCCCCAGAGTCGACAGCCCCACTCGCTTTGTTCGCTTCGTTGCCAAGCTGCGCAGGAAGTGGTGGTAGCGGAGGAGGTTCCCTGCCTCGAATGTGACGTATCACCTCTTTGACTTCTTGCTTCTCCATTCTTGCCGCCTGGGCCGATGACTCAGATGACAGGCAGCTACCGACTATGCAAACTTTCAGCGGCTTCAAGCCGAAAATCGAGCTCCCAGAAACTGCAGCAGAGCATGCAGCCATGTGACACCACTTGAACCAAAGCTCAGGCTCAGACCATGAACAGCAGCTTGCGCAGGCTTGAGCTTTGCCTGTCAAAACCAAAGCTCAAGCTAAAGCTGAACCAAAAAGCAACCAAAGAACAGGGCTTGGACGAAAACAGGCTGCAGCGCCTGGGGACTCTCGGGCTGCCGGATGGGTGCACTCGACCTGCACTTGTGCACGTGAACTTGCGCTGCTACACGCATCAAACAAGCACAAAAGCCGAGAACAAGACAGCGGCTGACTTCGAATAATGGTTCCACTGGCCTGCACAGAGCCATGGGTTCGCTACCACGGTCGTGGCGCATCTTGGCACATCTTGGCTCCCTGCCTCTGCAGCACTGACTCGTTCCTCCAACAGGCGGCAATGCACCTGTTGCACGTTGCATCAATGTAGAAACAACAAGTCCTTTGGAAGAGCGCGTTTTGAAAGTTCTTCTCGACTTCCGAGAACGTGTCCGGAGTGCATATGCGAAAACTATGCGAGCGAAATCGCGCAGGATTTCGAACGAACTTGGACGCGCAGGCTTCGCAAACGCCTGCGGGGCAGAATGATGAAAAGGAAAGATGATGAAGTTTCCGTGGTTTTGGCTTCTGGCAACATTCCCGAGGTTAGGCGGATGGCACCATGCGAGGTTTTCCAGCGATGGCGTTGCAGACGTCAGGGCATCCGCCACACAGTGTCACAAAGTCATCGGCTTTGCTTGCTCAAATCTTTGGCACGCAGACACACACACACACACACACAGACACACAAGCGCAGCACATCCAGTCGGCGGCATTGCGATTCCAAGAAGCGGCATTCGTCGAACCTCAGTGCTTCAATTCATCAAAGAGCTGCATACACAACTTGCAATAGCTTGCAGAAGCCGAGCCTGCGCATGTATTCCTGCTGCATCGGCTCGAGCTGAGACTTCACATCCTGTTCCGAAAGATTCACATGTGCAAGCAAGCTGTGAAAGCTATGAAACATCTGGACAGCACCATGACACACTTCGACGGAACTGACCTTGTAGATTTCTCCAACACTTTCCAGTTGCTTGCAAAGGCTGTGAACCTTCCGCGACCAGGAGCAGCCATCATCACCCGTTTTACTACAGAGAGAATCTCTCCAACTTGTGCGTGGTTCAAGCTACCATATTTACGGGTGTCCCAACCACTTCTGAATGATTGGGATATCTGCTGGGTCTGCACTGCCTGAGGCATGGCAAACGACCCTGAACTTCCACATGGCCTGATATGAATTGAGTTAAACTGATGGATTCAGGATTTCTTTGGCCGCAACCCTGTACCTCAAAACCATCTTTGAACCCTGGCATAAGCAGCGAGTGAAAGCCCACAATCCGTGACAGTCCCAACTTGAGGAATATGCCACAACTCAAACAACCAACAGACCTTAGCAAGCCTCAACTCTCTGAACATTGCATCCTGTATCCGTGTATCCTGTTCATAAACAAGAAACATAGGCAAAGATTCTGGATGACATGCGTGCGTCTGGCAACAAGCGGCCCCCACCAAGAGTCTGCAGGAATCTGCATCTGAAAGCAATTCTTAGCTCGTAGGGGTTGTTCACGGCCAAGGCTTGGTGCAACACTGCTGACATGTGCTGACCCTGCAACGAGGAACGAGGAACCGCACAGGTAAAGCTCTTGGCCTGCTGAATGGCAAGCTGCAGCTTGTCACCTCTCTGTCACCCCATTCACACCTCACCCGGCCCACAATGCAAAATGCAGGCTGCCGGGGTGATGGCTCGGCGATGACGGATTCTGGAGCATTTTCTCGCTGCCTGCACGAGCGTCCATGAAGCACACTTTTCCCGACCGAGCCCTGAGTCCTGAATCCGGCCTTGGCTCTGCGGGCTCACTTCAGGTTCTTGTTGATCCGGCCTTGCACGCATTTTTTCAACGAGATCTGCTTTGAACTTGCTTTGAACCTGCTCCCAGTCAGCAACAAAAGGGGCTTAGGTCGCTCGACAGAGGAGCCAACGCTTCCACGATTCTGTGCAGTTGCATCGTAGACTTCATCCGCTGCAAGCGTGAGCCTGTGAAAAGCCAATCCGATGGGGTGTCGAGGTGTGGGATGTACTGATTGCCATTAACGCTTGCAAGTTCACCCGCTCCTAGCCCCTTCCTGAAATACAAACAGAGCATATGGTGTAGCCTCAGGCGTTGCTTGAACATGTTCATGAACCCATTCAAAAAAAAACAATGCCTTTCTTGCGCTGGCACAACTGCCACATGCGACTGCTTGCTGCTCTCTCTCCCCCAGCAGGTGCGCGTTCCGCGTTCCCCTCTGGTTTAGATGGGATGACGCTCACTTCTATGCTGTTCGACAGGCACCTGCCTGTCACTGTCTAACAACCGAGTGCGTGCAGCATTTCCAAGACTGCTTGTCCACACGTAGCATTGCGCAAGTCAATGCAAGAAATAAAGAAGAAGTCTGTCGGCATGGTATTTTCGCGAGTGTCCCCTCCCAACCACTTGCAAAGCTTCACTTAGAACGATGCCGGCGCATTTTGGACAAACTGCTAAGGTATGGAATTAAGGCTTGTATCGACACGGTAAGGAGAAGCATATAACGCAACACGACTGCATATACTGCATATGGGGGAAGGGGACAGCTGAAGCGTCCGCCCGCAGAACCTGGCCCGCAAGAGTGCGCAGTCTGCCCGCTGGGCAGCCCCGTGGACCTCAAGCAAATGAGATTTGAAGGCCTACTTGCTCAGGATCCTCCTGCGTCCAGGCCACAGAGAACGAGGTAACTGTGGTGCAGATGATGAGAAGCCCTGCCAGCAAGCTCAATTCAAAGACGATAAGACTCCGATAAGAGAATCTCTCCGAATCTCTCCGAATCTCTCCGAATCTCTCCAAGCCTGCCGGCTCAGTGCTTGACTCTCTCCAGGCAAAGATCGCATCAGCGACAGAAACACCTCAGCTGCCATCAGCAGATGTCCACAGCGACAACATCCCATAAAGCCAAGGCGCATCTCGCTCGTCCATGCCGTCATGTCTCCGCCTCACACCTTCAGGGGCTTCGAATTCATGGCCCCTCATTCCAGAGCACGCAAGGTAGCTCCGGTAAGTGTCCGGCTGTCGCCCTGGCCCACCTCCCAAGCAATCTGACGCGAAGACGCATTGGTCAGGAAACTTTGCGACTTCGCCATGGATTCTGCGACAGCGAGGTTCTGAGACCCCGACAGTACCTATATGGTCACTGCTGGACCGTTCTAGACTCTCGGAATACCAGTGCTAGGCTGAGGAGAGGAGCACAAGCTGTGCAACATCAACACATGACATTGAACAAAAATTAAAATTGCCCGTGTTGCTCTAACAGAACTTGCGTCGAGGACTTACAGATCTCAAAGATTTCAAGGCGCGTATTGAGGGTCATGAAAAGCGTTCGAGTCTTAACACCGAAAGCTAGGGCCTCCGACGTAGAATCGTGGAGCTTGAAGAAAGGAAAGCGTGTGCAAAAAGAAACACAGGTGACGGCCGTAGCGGTACGAAGAGCCTCTTCCGAGCCGACAAAGAGCTCACCGCAGCCACCTTTGGCAAGCATGGCCTCCCGATTCGTTGCAGAACCCGGCGCTACTTGCAACCTCAACTCGAGAGTGTGCCGGTGAACCTCTGCATGCTGCAAGGCTTCGGTGGCTCCGCAAACAGCCTTCAGCCATTTCAGATCTTGCAGGTGTGCCAATGCCCACTGCTCGGCACAACCACGACGCCTCCTCAAGGTCATCAGGGTCAACCTCCACCTGCCACCCGGCATCTCCCCCCCAAATCGTGCACTGCAAGTAAATTGAAGCATCTATATACACTCCAGCCTCCGTCTCAGGGCTGTAAACGCCCATTCCGTCCACTTGAACGAAACGGTTCTCTCCTTCGCTGTTGAGTCTACAAGCCACAAGCGATTTGTGGACATATTGGGGCTCTCGCATTCTTCTGTGTCTAGCTCCCCGGGTTTTGTGGCTTTTGTGTTCCACAGGCTGCCCGAATTTACTTAAGCCCCTTTCAAAAGCTGAAGGCTCCCGACTCTTCCCCCTACCGGTCTCTGCGAGGTGCGCCCCTGTGGGTGCATTCCGCCGCCCTCTGTGTCCTCGACTAGTGTATCGGATTTGCTCCTCAGCTTGTCGGTCGGCGGCATCTTGTTTGATGGGACTTCCGAGTCAAGCTAAACCAGTTGTGAGGCACGACTTGCTGCTTGCTGCTCAAGGCGTCGAGGGGTTTCTCCCATTTGCGCCAGCCGTGGTTTCATTTGTGTAAGAGCTGGGTTGTGTATGGTTGTGTCGTGCTCATGCTCGGGCTCTCCTCAGGTTGTTTTGGCTGGTCCATGAGCAAGACGAGCCGCTGAAGGTGCTCGATTCGTTCCGAGCCCCTGACTCGTTTTTCTCGTGTGCTCTTCTTCTTCACCTCGGCCCTGGCCTGACTTGGCCCTGGCCTGACTTGGCCCTGGCCAGACCACGGCACAGGCAGGAAAGTCCGTTCTTTACTTCCCAAACCCCACGCAACCAGCAGGCAAACTCGCGAAAACCTGCCGCCACCCTAAGACCCCTCAACCAGTCCAAAAAGCCTCTCCCACAAAGCCCAGGATGTCTAAGCCCGAATGCCATGAAACTCCTGGTTCCCCCACAAACCTTCAACGGGCTTCTGCATTTTCGGGCCGGGCCAAGCCGGTCGACGTGCAGAGTTTGCAACCAACAGCCCTCTCCGTATTTTCTCTCTCTTCTCTTCTTCTTTTTCTTTCCTATTGCTTTCTTTCGTGGGGCGAGGGACTCCTCTCTCTCTGTCTCTGGAGCAACAGTGTCCTGGCAAATTCTTGGTCTTGCTCTGCAGACCATGTGTGCGAACATGGCGTCGCAGCGTGTCCTGCTCAGCAATTTCTGCTGCAGCATCTCCGGTAGCCTTGAATGGGTCGTCCTCCATGCTATTTTTCACACGGAAGAGCTCCTGCACCTTGACTGCTTCCCTACTGCCCTAGTTGCAAGGCTCAAAGCCTTTGGAAATCTAGGCCTGCCGGGCCATGGCCGGGAGGAAGGAGGTGACATCTGCACCTCATCAAATCTCCCACAACGACACTGAGGCGACGCTGCTGCGCGTGTTGCGATGTGGCTGTTGGCGTCTCTGTTGTTGCCTTGTGCGGAATGCTCAGAAGACCGTGGACCGGCGTCACGAGCCTCAAAGAAGGCCGTATGAACTGTAGTAACAAAACATGTAGCAAATCCCTTCAATCGACCTCGCCTACTGACTACTGAAGGTGCACCGAGTATGAATCCGGAAGCTCTCATGAACTGAAGCTTCCGGATTTCAGGGCTTTGAGCAGAGTTCATCTCGGCAAGTGTTGAAGTTTGAAAGCTCAGGTTAGGGCATTTCGGACTAAGGGGCAGAGTCGGGGTCAGGGTTTAAGTTAGAGATGTGGGGGCGGAGCAAGATGACGTCTAGCATTGAAGGACGTGGTGGTGGTTGAGGCTTGAGGGCGGATGGTCTGGGGTTGAGGGTTCGAGGTTCGGGTCTGAGGTTCACGAATTTAAGGTTGGGCGAAAGCTGAGAGTTCCAGCTTGAGCAGGGTCATGTTCGAGGTAATAGGAAGATAACAAGAGCAGGAAGAGAGAGAAGAGAGGAAAGGAGAAGGCAGAGATGGAAGAGAGGGAAGAGGAGAAGAGGAGAAGAGGAGAAGAGGAGAAGAGGAGAAGAGGAGAAGAGGAGAAGAGGAGAAGAGGAGAAGAGGAGAAGAGGAGAAGAGGAGAAGAGGAAGAGGAGAGGAGAAGAAGAGAAGAGAGAAGAGAGAAGAGAGAAGAAGAGAAGAAGAGAAGAGGAGAAGGAGGAGAAGAGGAGAAGGAGGAGGAAAGAGGAAAGAAGAGGAGAAGAGGAGAAGAGGAGAAGACGGAGAGAGAGGAGGAAGGAGGAGGAGGAAGAGGAGAAGAGGAGAAGAGGAGAAGAGGAGGAGGAGAAGAGGAGAAGGGAGCGAAGAGGAGAAGAGGAGAAGAGGAGAAGAGGAGAAGAGGAGAAGAGGAGAAGAGGAGAGGAGAGAGGAGGAGAAGAGGAGAAGAGGAGAAGAGGAGAAGAGGAGAAGAGGAGAAGAGGAGAAGAGGAGAAGAGGAGAAGAGGAGAAGAGGAGAAGAGGAGAAGAGGAGAAGAGGAGAGAAGGCTCCCAAGACCTCACTTGTCCAATATTCAGGGAGTTCGTGCTTTCTTTCTGGGAGGGAGGGGAAAGCAAGCAGCCTCATGCCGAAGCGAATCATCCGACTCCTCTCCAGAATCCGAGCTGAGGTGGGTTACCTCCTGCACAGAACTTCATGTTCGTCATCTGCCATCATCCGCGCATACAAGTTAAACATCCATTCCAGCCAGGCGAGAGCCTCGATGCCCGGAAACTGTTTCAAGGCCAAGCGCTGGCCTAGCCATTCGAGTCATTCGAGATTGATGACCAGCAACTGGAGGAATTCTGAAGGTCGCAGCGATTGCCTTCACCAAGCTTACGAGCAGTCTTTTCGGCTTCAGCGTCCTGCACCACAGAGACAGAACGTGACAGAACGTGACTTCTCCGCATCATTGCTGCACGTGGCCTCCCCGGAGCTCAGGAGTCGTGATGTCGTTCGCGCCAGTGAAGCGTCCTGTGTTTATATATATATATATATATATATATATATATATATATATATATTATGTATTTATTTATATTTATATGTATATTTATACTTATACTTATATTTATATTTCTATTTCTATATATATATATTTATTTATTTATATTTACAGCTATATTTATATTTATTTATTTCTTTCTATTTATTTAGTTACTTTTCCTTTTTAGTTACTTAGCTTTCTGTTTTATTTTTTCTTTTTTATTATTCTTTATCTATTTTATATGTGATATGTTATATTTAGATCTATCTCATACTTAGACTTAGATTTATGCCTCTTTTGTATTTGTGACCATTTATGTCTCTCTTTCCTGATCTCTATCTCTCTCTGATTCTCTCCCCCTCTCCCGCTCTGTGGGGCTGCACATGAAGCATGTAGCTCTGAGGACTCTCTTCCAAGATTGATGGGTCCATCTCGCCGAGGTCACCCTGTGAGCTGCCATCCATGGCAAGCCGACCTTTCCTGGACATGAAGTCAGATCTGCAAGTCGCATATCAAATGTGGGCATCTTGGCGTTGCACGCACGGCCGTGGAAGAAATCCACTTCCTGCGGCTGCACACCATAGAAGCACAGTGGTGCAGAAACACGTGCCGGCCTGGTGGGACGACGCCTTCTGCTGCACAAGCGTAGCCTGCAGATGGGGTCTGATGAGCATCCTGCTTGGATGACATGAGTTCATGCTTGCATAGGGCACAAAGCAGCTGAGTTCCGAAACCAGATGTTCTCGCAGAAGTCTGTTTTCCGAGCAGAGACGGAAGAGCTCTGGATGGTTTTCCAGCTGTCGCCTAGCAGGCCCCCAAGACAGGTGTGTCAACTTCGTCCCACGGCTAAAACTGTGGGAACGAAGAGTCCATAGCTCTGGGGCGCAAGCCGCAAGAGCCTTGGAAGGCTCACAACACGTCAGTCACCGGGCACTTATCTGGCTGGAACGTGCAGAAACTTCCTCCGAGGGCAAGGCTTGTTTTCGGCCCGCAGCTCAGCTAGCTCCTGTTCTGCGGGTCCTGCAGCAGCACATCAACCAACGGTGCGAAGCGATCGCAAAGTGCAGAGCCTCCAAACCCTGCCAGCCCAAATCCCACTTCGTTGGCAGGCTCAGGCCTTTGAGCATCGCGCGCACCAGCGGTTGTTGCATGCATTACATGCTAACAGCACGAACATCTGTGCTGAGTCCGTGGCTGACTACCCTCAAGGGGACCTGAGAAACTTGCTTGAAATTCCAGCTTGTCTGAATGACATGCATTCTGTAAGCTAGCTGCCTTGCATCAGCTGCGTTGTTGAACCCAGCCTGAGGACAACTCCCAATCAATACATATACCATATTATACCATTGTTAACGCAGTAACGAGCTGACAGCTCGGCTGAGCCCTGTGCTGTCTCATGCGGGCAGTGCTGCGTCGCCCGTTGCGGAGAGCCGCCTTCATCCACAGGCTGCTGTTGCTGCTGCTTGTGTCACAGCTTGCATCCTCATGAAGCTCTTCCCAGGACCCCCCGATGACTCTTGACTGCAGTCCATATCACAGGGCTCTGCAAAGCTGACACCTGGAATGCCTGGCCCTTTCTGCCTCTCCCAGACTCTCCCAGCCTCTCCGATGAGTAGGCCATAACTATAGCTACGACTTCGATCTGGAACGTCTTGCCCCAACCTTAGGATTCAAAGTGATCCCACCTTTTTGCTGCGTCCGACGTAGCTGCCAGAGACAGAGGATATCTGGGAGACAGACCACCGCTGCGATGAGTCACAGACAAGGCCGCTACCATAGCCTGACACTTGAGTGATTGACGGAGCCTGTACTCTTGTAAGCACTTGTACACCCGCAGCACTCTGCAGGTCGAGATGCCGTCATCCTCCATTCGACCATCTTCCGCTGCCAGAAAAGCCTCGCGCATTCCAAGAATTGCGCTAGAGTTTCGTTTGATGTGCCCACTGTCCTTGCAGCCTGCGCCCCTGCAGGCCTCGATGGTACCATCGAGCATGTCGGCAGCTTGCTGATTGCTGTCGGTAGACGCACTGCACAGTTGCTGCCGAAACCTCAGACGGTCTCCGTAGGCCCAAGATCCCTGGCCCAGCTGCAATAAAGATTGATCAAACAACACTATGGCCACTACACGACGAGCCGAGCAATCAACTCCGGCAGGTAGCATGCCTAAACGAAAGCAAGTCAGCACATCGTCACATCACTCGGGATGCAAGACATGCTTCAGTTTGCTTCAGTCCTCTCCGGCAGCATGGTCGACTAGGAAGCTGAAGTAATCACGCAGCGCATCGAAGTAGTGCTCCTTCCGCTCCAGCACCACATTCAGGTACCTGTTTCCACGGAATCTGACGAAGCCTGTACTTCATACATACACTGAAACTGCCTGCAGCAAAGATGGCCCGCTCTCTGCATTTGTTCGACGCAGGTCAAGCTGCAAGCTTTAGCCACTTTAGCCCTACTACGAGAAGCAACAGCCACTGCCACTGAAACACTCGAACTTTGTACAAGTAGCATGCTGCTGAATAATTCGGGCCATGATTAGGCCGCAATGCAGAATCCTACGGACAGTCACCAACCTGTGTACAAGTGAAGCGGAACAAAGCAGAAGTGTACATCGAACGGAAGGCCAAAGGAATGTGAACCATATGGAACGCCTGCCTTGCTCCAATCAAACCTCGGGATGCCACGAATATCCACGATACACTGCCCACTGCTCCAACACTCAAATCACTCAGGCCTCGGGTGCGAGAAAGGATACGTAATCTGGTCGCACTCATCTTCCACCTGCTGCCTGGAGCAGATGCCAAGGCTCAGACTGCATGTGAACATCTGTGAAGGATGTCCCTGCAATGGAAATTAAGACCCTGACACTGCCGCCCCAGCATGGGTCAAAGCTGCACGGAGGAACTCGTACTGATGCGGTCTGCATCGAATGCTCGTGACCTTGCAAAGCTCACGAAGCTCACAAAGCTCAAATGCAGGGGTGCCTGTCCACTGTATCCCGAAGCCTCCACACGAACATCAGCTTGAATCAAAGCTCGCGCCAAGTCGATGAAGGGCACATCGCTCGTAGCGGCTGAATGCCGAAGCCTTAAACTGTATCAAAGCTATCGAGCCATGCAAACGCGTTGCAAATGCCCTGCTGGCTCACAGCCCTAAGCCCTGCACGAGAGTTCCAACTGCAGCACCACGAGGCCGGGAAACTTAGCTCGGAAGACGTCCGCAATTTCCTTCGCCGAGAAGGCCCAGTGCCTCACGAATCCACTCGAATCACTCGAATTAGCTGGCTGTAGACGCCCTCAGCTGGGGCTCAGACCCTTCTGTGCCGAGTGAAGCTCGGACTATTGACACCTCAGGTGTTTTCGTTGCCAGGATAGCTCGCAGCAATCGCGGCAGCAAACACGGTCTACAGCAGTCCAGGCTCTTCGCATGCTGAGGGAATCGTGGGAAAGTACTGATAAAGTCGCCAAAGTCCATGCTTCCACGCCTTAGCGCAGTACACACAGCCAAACATCCGCTGCTCTGCGAGACACTGCTAGAGAATCACAATCACAGCCTTCGGATGTGTTGGTAGGATTTTGTTGGATTTTGTTGAGGCACATGTCAACAGGAAAGTCTCCGAAAAATGCTGTCAAAATGCAAACAGAAATGCTCAATCATCCCAATGTGCCAGACGGACAATACTGCCACCTCGACCATCCCCAGGCTGTCCCTTACTTACAATCAACACACTTTGAAAGATGCTCTGGTTGTAGCTTGCTATACTGCTGATCCTGCGCTTAGACTAAGTTTCTCCAGGCCTGTCGGCGGGGCTTGCTGGGACATTCCGGCTCAGTGGTCCGCCTGAGCCTCCCTGGCCTGCTGATATAGCGTTCACATCCTGGCACCCTTTATCTGCCCGAGCCGGGATTCCGATACCCACCTGGCCTGCATATTTCATCCCGAGAGAGTCGCCCGGCTGCAATGCTACCTGCTGTTTGCCTGTGGCACGTCGCCTTACACGATGCATGTCGTTCTGTCCCGATACTCTAACAATGCCACTTGTCGAGTGGGGAACACAAGCGCAACATTACAGCGATCGTACGACGATGCTGCACCACATGAATGAATGAAACTGGACAGGGAACGCGCTGCAGCCTCTGACATCCTTTTGCAGCACTATTGTGCCGAATGCGACACAAGCCTCAAAGTCGGACCAGAAATCGCTGGAGAAGTCGCATGGAAAAAAGGGACAAGCAGGTCACGTGCCTTCGGCAAGCACGCAACAGGAAAGTCGAGGAAAGTGCAGGCCAGATTTTGGAAGTCTAGTCCTGCGAGTTGAACATGGAGCATGCACTGGACATGCTCTTTCAAGCTGTACTCTAAGACTCTAAGCTCGTTCCATTCGAACATATGAGTCCTCTTACCAGTGGAGGCAATGCTTGAAGGAGTTTGCCAAAGCAGGAGGCGTTGTCCACCTGGCGGTCTCGCAGCGCAGTCGACGTTAACCCGCCCGAATTCTCAGACTGCCTCAGATGACCTGAGAAGCTGACATCGCGATTTGTCCAAGCATGCACTAGGACTCGCCTCAAGGCCCAACAGCAGTCAAACTCGCATTTTCAGGGGGAGGGCAGGGCGACCATCGGCTGTCGGTTGCACACAAGAAGGCACGGATCAGCAGGCATCTTTTTCCGGCTCGGCCATCTTTGCGTCAGAGTTTAGCCTGGCACAGATGCAGCAGAGTTATAGGGCAAGCCTACACCTGCACCCTAACCGGCTGGCCTGCGCCAGGCCATCGCTCTGCGCTCGAAGATGCGCGTAACCATCAAGGGACGCCTTCAGCTGCATCTCCTGCACAAACATGATCAACCAGTTCCAGCTGGTGTCCAGCTGTGTCTGTGCAGATTTTCGGAGTATTGTAGACACATGGATCCTGGAGAGTCATCTGCGCCACGAGCTTTTGGGAGCTCTTTTCTCGCAAGTATGTTGTCGTCCACCTCGTGGGCAGTCGAAGCGAAGCATATCCCTCGAAGGCTTGACCCCCAACGCATGGCAAGCCCCCATGCTTTGGCTCTTTCCCCATTCCCCTCCCAGCCCTCCGCGACGCGTCCGGAAACATAAATCTCTAGAATCGATCTATAAACCTGAGAGGGCATATACGGAGGCCGCACGGAGGCATTAGTAAGGCCGTGTAAGAGGCGTTAGGGCCGAAAGTCCTTGACGACCCTGACTTGGCAAAATACAAAACCTCTGAAGAACCTCTGAAGAACCTCTGAAGAACCTCATGCTCTGGAGGCATAGGTGGGCTTGTGGCAGGCCTCTGGAAGTCTTGAAGGCTTAATGATTCTTATGCCAGTGACTCATGTGTACAAGTGACCAATTCGTGACATCGGCCATTGCTGCTGAAAGCACCCTTGAGGCTTAAGACGCGCCTGAACTCGGCACGCGGGGTCTCACCGCTGCCGACGATTTCTCGTGAGCACTCATAGTCCACACCCACAAAAATGGGTCCATTGATCAAGATGACCTCAAGGCACAGCCCAGGCCCGAAAAAGTGGGCCGCACTCAGGCCTCACTCAAGCCGCATTCAGGTCGCACTCCGGTCGCGCCTCGCAGCCTCCGAAAAGGCCCACAGGTGTGCGGCCGCCAAGCGCCTGGGCAGTCACGATGGAGTTGAACAGCTGAACATGTCAGCAGAACCCTCAGCGCGGCAACATGGGCGACGAGAAAACACGTGAGAAACTGATGAAAAGTGGCAGATCACACCCAGCAAACAACCTCTACGTAAGAGTACATGGCCTGCCTGGTGCAGCCACTGGTCGCCCGCAACCGGTGGAAACCTCCAACAAAAAGACAGACAGAAAGACAAAGGCAAAGAACATCTCTCTCTGGAACCCTGTTGCCTGGGAGGCGCGGCTCCACCTCCGACAGAACCGATACAATCGAACAGGCATGGTTTCCCTAAGCTTCCCCATACCAAAGAAAAAAAGATTTGACCCGACAGCGGGGCATGAAGGTAAGTGGTGCCACCAGAGCAGCCACATGTTCATGTTCAGCTCAGACCGCGCTGCATGATGAAGATGCTGGCAGCATAACGTTAAGTTTCCAAAGTATTTATGGTTTGCGGTTTAGGGTTTAGGCCCAAAGCTTAGGGTTCAGGGAACTTCAAATAGCTTAGGAAGCAACCCCAAAAGCGCACTGTCTCCAACCAAACCCTACCCAGAAAAGCAAGCCCATACCACAAAAACAACGAAACATCAGTTCGAGCACCGAACACCCAAAACCCCAACTCACATCCCCGAACCCAACACAGGAGTGCAAACCCAACGCGGTCGGCGCTCCAGGGATTCTCTGCGAAGCAGGTGAATTCACATCCACAACCCCCTCACCGAGTCTTCAGATGTCCAGAAGCAGAGACACACTTAGCAGAAGCTCCGTCGCAGAATGCGAGTTCGGACAAGGTGATGGATGGCAGCGCAGGCAAGGAAATGCTGACATCACGTGAAAAGAACCACAGAGATCCAAATCGAACCCATCCAAGGCCTACCATGCCCAGCATGATCTGATTGAAGCTCCTTGGTGGCGGAACATCATGACTTGCGATGACTTTTGAACTTCTGCCACCATCTGGTTTGAAACAAAGGTGCTCCGGCGGGAGAATCGGCTTCCCCCATGGAGACGTTTGACCAGCTTCCTGGGCCGGCGTTCCAATATCAAACCCACGAGAACACGAGAAGCAGGAAGCTTCGGAAGCGCCTCGCTAAACCATGGGTTGAACTCGGTGATGAGCTCCAGCTTCCTGGAGCAAAGGTTCCAAAAAAGGATTCAGAAAGGCTTGCTGTTCCGAAGCACACAAGAAAAAGCGCCTCCTGTGCGTGAACGGAAACAGTGGCCCAATGACCTGTGCTCGGAGGAGCATATGAAAGCCAAGAACTTTGAATCACCCCGAAGCCTTGTCAAACTCAATCTTGGCAGGCTCCGGCTCCAAGCTCCGAGTGCCCGCATCATAACGAGTAAACAGCAGCCTCGGACGATCTGCCAAGTTTGATGCTCAAGCTCTTGAGAACATTTCGTGGACGTTTTGTGAACAGTGTGCTATTTCTCTGAAACGCTGACTTGGCATGGCACTTTCCCTTGACCGGCTTGATGCTTGCAATCTTCGACTGCGCCTGCTCGCCATGCGATGGGAAGCACAACGGAAGCATCCCAAAAGTGCTAAACGATGTAGCAAGTGCTAGTATGTGCTCATGTATTGCTAGTGCCATTGAGGCTCCATGGTTGTCATCTCACCTGGCCGCAGGCCCACACTTGCTGTGCCTTCGAAAACCAGTCGTCCTTAAGCATAGGGCCA